GCCCAATCGTTAGCAGGATGTAAGTTAGGTTTCATAACAGCTTGAGACTCATTCCAGTAATTATCTAGCTCCTGAAATCTCCCGGGAACATGACCTCTAGCTTGTATCCCCTCGTCGATATCTAAAGATGACAATAATGCGTTTACCTTGAAAAGCAACATAGAACAGAATTTTCAGCCAACGACATGGGGAAGAGAAGCAGCCAAAAAACATTAAAGGAGATGGGAAACAGGCTTAGGCCATCAGAAACATAGAAAAGGCTTAACCATATTGCACAGCTAGCATAGTCTCGAGAAAATCCATACTAGACAGGAACAAATTACCAAGTAAAAAAACAACATTCCAAAAACTAAATCCCTGAACCACAGATAATTGTGATATATGATAGGACAGAGCTACCTCTATCGCCATTCCAAAATGTTATATTTTGATGTAAATTTAAGACCATGGAAGCCGGACCTGAACTTTATTGTTACGCCACCTCTTTATATAATTGAAAAGATCTTTATTTCAAAAGAGCAGTGGCCATGAAGGATATAACACCAAAACATGAAGCATATATACTCGACCCTTAAAACCTAAGGTGAATGCATATATCACATGGAAAACTATCAAATAAACAGCAAACCTGAGCATTGATAAACTCCTCTCCCCTATCGGCAAAAAAATGCCGGGCCATTATGCTACTACGATCACGGATACATTGTTTGTCACTTTGTGACAATCCCAGAATTGGAACAGGTGCGGGACGAAATGGAATACCACCACGGCTACTGTCAACAAATGAATGCAGAAAGTTTGACAAAACTCTCTGTGGGGGTCCTGCAATATGTAAGCAATGGGAAAAAAAAAATCAAGCAAGCACAAGAGAACACCTCACTCGACATTTGCTATATAACTAAGACAGAGCAACGAATGTTCAACGAGCCATCAGGAAGAATAGAAGTGCATAGAGAAGAAGTTTAATCTACAAATAATACTTTCACTTAACATCAAAACCATGATGGTTGAGAACGATATCACCATTTCTTCAACATCAAAACCACGATATCTATCTGTTTTGTAATAGGCATTAAAATAAAAGTGGCAGCGAAGTCAAATCACAAACCTTCAAATGTAGGCTGAACTGGCTCATACATAGGTCCCATAGGAGGCATCGGTACACCTTGCTGCACCTCATCCCAAGCCGCACCCAGACCATTTTGATCTACAGAGCGGAAGGTACGAAAGAATTCTGATCCCTGATGAAAAAATTGGCAAAACCCATCAGCCATCACAACGGCTAGATAGTCATAATAGCCAATATAGACAACGACTGTAAGAAAATCAAAAATTTGCACAGCATTGACCTGACCACCCGGCTGCAGACCTGGCTGATCTAACTCAGAACCAGGAAGTGACCTTATCTGTTGATCTTCCGAGTAAAATTGTGGCCCAGGACCTGAACGATTAGCATTAGGTATCTCCTTGAGCCTTTCCTACACATCAAATCATCAATCATCACAAAAAATCGTGAAATTCTCAGGAATTATTAAAACCCCACGAAAAAAAGAGATCTACTTCGACTTCGAGTTTCAACACATGCGATAACTGAAATCAGGAGCTCAAATTCAATACGGTTTCGATCACAAAATCGATAAGGAAACTAACCTGAGTTTTGGATGATGAACCAAGTAGGGCGTTGGTGAGAGCTCCGAGAGGATTAGAAGAAGAAGAAGAACCGGGAACCGCACAGGCAGCTCCGCCGTTAACAAGGTCTCTCATCGCCATGTTTCCAACGCTTATCTACACCGCCGTAACCACCCCCGTCGAAACTATTAGTATGGTTTCCTCCGACCTCCGGAATGGATCATCACCTCCCAAATCCCAATCTATATGTTGTCTCTCGTCTCGTGGCGGTGTTTTTATTTTGTTTGTTTGTTTGTTGTGTAAAAATAAAAAACGAATTATATAATTTTGATAGAGTTTTGCGTATTTTCAAAATTTATATATTATCCACACCACACACATTTTTAGGCTCACCAACACCTTTTTTTTGTCCTTTATTTTTCACTATCTGTATTTTTTAAAATGATTTTTTGTGTCATATATTTTCTTTCTTTATTCATCTCTATGTTTTTTTTAATCTCTTTATCCTATCAAGAATGAAATAATGTTGTATTTACATATATAACAATTGTATTGTATTTGAATAATATACTTTGTAAACCTCTTTTTGATACGAAAGGTTTTGACTTCGCGTTTAGAAAAAAAAATGAAAATATGTAACCAGGCCTACATAACCGGTCTTATGGGATGCCAATAATTCCCAATTGTGTAAGCTCGGCCCATACACAATGCCCACTATCTATTTACTTGACCCGGTCTAATATCTCTAGGACCCGACCCGACTTGATCCGGATTTGCATTCATTAAAATATAAAACCTTCAATAAAACATAAAAAGGGCAAAAACAAAAAGTTCATTGAAGGAGCGAGAGAGATCGACGAGAGAGATCGACGAGAGAGACGACAATGGCACCTTCGTCATCGAGCGGTTTAACCTTCAAGCTGCATCCTTTGGTAATCGTAAACATATCGGATCACTACACTAGGGTTAAGACTCAGCTCAATCCTCCTGCTTCAGTCTGCGCAAGCAGTAATAGCTCAAACAACGACGAAGCAGTGCTCCAGCAGAATCCTAGGGTTTACGGATGTGTGATCGGTGTCCAGAGAGGTCGTACCGTTGAGATCTTCAACAGTTTCGAGCTTTTATACGATCCTTCAACTCAAACCCTTGATAGATCCTTCCTGGAGAAGAAGCAAGAGCTATGTAAGCTCAGCTCACTACTACTCTCCCTCTCTTTTTCTTTCAATTATTGCTGCAATGTTAAAATCAAACGTAGATAAGAGTTTTTGTTTCGTTTTGATGGTGTTTAGAGTTTGAATTGTGCTTGGTTATACAATGATTATCTGGTTTTCTTTGTTTATTAGACAAAAAGGTGTTCCCTGACTTTTACATACTGGGATGGTACTCTACGGGGAGTGATGCTGAGGAATCTGATATGCATATCCACAAAGCCGTGAGTCCAATGCTTTCTGTAGTTGTTTTGTTTGATTGAGATTTGGTCTCATTGTACTGAATTGAAGTGTGATTTTTGTGTCTACTCTTGGTGACAGTTGATGGATATCAATGAATCTCCTCTTTATGTCCTTTTAAATCCGGCAATCAATCACTCACAGAAAGATCTTCCAGTGACTATTTATGAAAGTGGTAAGTTTCTTTTAATTCACCTTCTTGAAATCTAAATTTATATAACGACCCACATAAGTGAGTTCTAATATGTTATCTTGATTGTGTTGGTATATGTGTAGTTCGAGTTTCTACAAATCTTACCAAGTGTCTATCTTTATTGACTTCCATATGTAAGATCCTAACTTTTCTATTTTTTCCATTGATTAGAATTGCATGTCATTGATGGAATTCCACAGCTAATTTTCGCTCATACAAGCTACACAATTGAGGTCTGTGCTTAGGTGATTCTGTAATTAATCAAACTTATGAACGTAGACATTGACTAAGATTTTTGTGATTTTACCCCAAACAGACTGTTGAAGCTGAACGGATATCGGTCGATCATGTTGCACATCTCAAACCATCTGATGGAGGCTCAGCAGCAACCCAGTGTGAGCCTTATTATGTCCCTAATACTCACCTTGATCCTCTTCTTCAGCCGCACTAAAATTTGGTTAATAACATCTGTATGCAGTGGCTGCTCATCTTACTGGTATACATAGTGCTATCAAGATGCTTAATAGCAGAATCAGAGTGCTCTACCAGTACCTTGCTTTAATGCAGAAAGGTATCTTTTATTCTTTCTCAAGTTCCCATTCTCATCACGGTGGTATTGTGTCACCAGTCCAGGAATCTAGATAGAAGATAGTGTAGGGTTAGTGCTTTAGGTGCCAAGGATAATGACTCGTGGGATCTTATGTCTAGGTGATATTCCTTGTGACAACTCACTTCTACGACAAGCATCTAGCCTGCTAAGAAGATTGCCTGCCATGGAATCAGAGAGGTTTCAAGATAATTTCTTGATGGTGAGTTAGTTAGATTTGCATTTGATTATTTTTATTGTAACTTGTTGTCTTAAATATCTCCTAACTTATGCTGTCCTTTTCTTTTGCAGGAGTACAACGACAAATTACTAATAACTTACCTAGCGATGATTACGAATTGTTCCAGGTTTGTACCTTATGCACTATCATATCTAAAGTATTTCAGAGCACAATAGTAGCAGGCCAATGTTCTTAAAAAAAATTTCAATCTTGCTATTGTTCTATTACCATCCTTAACTGTGAAAGATATGTGTTTATCTGAATGGTAATTTTGTTTCATCTGTCAATATCTGTTTGTTCAATATGCAGCGCAATGAACGAGATGGTAGACAAATTCAACGTTGCGTATGACAGAAACACTCGAAGAGGTGGAAGAACTGCATTTATGTAAACCAATTCTTTCCAGGGATGCTAGTTCTAAAAGTTCTTCTCTTGGTTTCCGAAACCATTTTTGACTTTGCTTCTGCGACTGCGAGAATCTGTAACTGAGACGGCATAACAAAGATTCAGCTACCAAACGAGGCGAAGACTTATCATCATTCATTGTTTTTATATCTTATAAAGAAACATCTGCTTCTATATGAGAGCTATTGTTTGATGTTTAACAAGTTTCTATTGTTAGTATAAAGATTTATAAGGTTGGATTCTTTCAGTCTCTTGTTACATCCATCAGCTCTTACGGTTCGGTTTATGTTCTCCTTCTGTTGCCTTTGCCCACAATATATTCCCACACGTGTGTGCACGTGCTTAACAATAGAATACTTCAGAAGAAAAGATAAATCAAATAATGGTTGGGAAACTATCGTGTGAGAATTTGCCTATTTGATGTTGGTAACATTTTAAAATCTTGTCGAACCACATCTACAGTCGTCTAATTACGGGATAAAATAGAGGAATAAAGAATGGAATGCAAAATAAGAACAGCCTTTACCTTTCCCCAAAGTTTTAAACCAATACAAATTAAAGAAGAAGAAGAAGAAGCAGAAGGAGAAGAAGAAGAAGAAGAAGAAGAAGAAGAAGAAGAAGAAGAAGAAGAAGAAGACTTAAAAAGTTATAAGGACAGACCAAATGCAGAAGAGTAAAAATTCAAATCTGCGGTAATCTACTCATGATCTGGTTATATACCGATTGACCCGAATCAGAAACCGGTTCAGCCTTTGGCTCCATCCCTCTCTGCATCATCGCTTCATTCATCCCAACCGGTTGTTGTGTCAGATACTGGTGAGGCAAACCGGGCATTTTCCCTTGACCAAACGCTAAACCAGGCATTGAAAGATTAGCCAAACCGTTTTGTCCTAAACCGAACGCGTAACCTGAAGGAGGACCCAAGTGTGGCTGAAAGGTGAAGGGACGGCCATAAGGAGATTGATGATGAGTCGTCGTGACTTGTCTGTCGAATCTACCACGTGACTGCTCTGAGTGATGAACGTTGTTGTAATGGTGAGAAGCAGCCGCTGAACCGCCGCTGCTACCGCCACCGCCTCCGTGGCTGCTGTTGCGTGCGGCCGGGACATCGTGGTTGTGTTTGCCTTCGTAAGTGGTTATAACGGATTTGAGGTCATGGGAAGCTCTCTCTACATGTTTCCTCACTGTACATCCAGGAGCTGTGCATTTGTAATAACTCCTACAAAAACATTGTCAAAACGAATTGGTTTTATCATGCCATGAACATATTAAACAGAACCAAACCAAAACAGAGGAGAGGATGATTTATAGAGAACCTGGGATTTGGATTGCCTTTGACCACTTTCTGACCATACTTTCGCCAGCGATAACCATCATCAAGAATGTCAACATCACTCGTTGTCTGCACAACAACTCTTGGCTCACGTATGGCTCTTGTTGCTCCACTCATCTCTGCTGCATAAGCTTCTAGTTTCCTGAAAACCAAAAACTTCTTTAAAAACAGTTCATACATACTGATCATTTGGTGTTTCAGTAGCTTAAAAGAACCTTCTTTTCGATTCAGATTCTTCTCCTTCTCCTCCCCCACCTCCTCCTCCTCCTCCTGCTCCTCCATCACAACCCAAAGAGACACTTCCGTGTGTTCCTCGATCATCTTCATCTTCATCGTTAGAGAATGTTGATGAAGTATCAACCACAACCACAGCCTCGCCTGAGTCATACTGACCTCCCGTTTGTGCTTGAATCACTCCAGATTGGTTTCCGTATTCGAATCTTGTTGATCTCTCTTCGACATTGTTCACGTTGCTTCCACCTTGTTGTTGAGCGTTATTACAACTAACCCACGTTCCAGCGGAATCTCTCTGTTGTTGTTGTTGCTGCTGCTGTTGTTCAACTTGTTCAGTTCCATCTGTTTGCATCCCTGAGCGGCGATTAGGTAGAGGTTTAGAGTGATTATGAGCTCCTTTGTATATTATCTCTGTAATGTGACCTTCCCTTGATCTCTCAACTTTCTTCTTCACCTGACAGTTGGGGTTTGTGCACTTGTAATAGCTTCGCGGATACTCACTTCCTTTGACTAGCTTTTGTCCATATTTCCTCCAGTTATAACCATCCTCTGCTGGCGCACCACCAACCATTGAATCACCACGTCTTTGATCTTCTTCTTCCTCTTGATGATCAACAGTTTCAAGACCGGTGTTTGTTGTGGCATCAGATGTCTTGTTCTGGCCACTTGGATCAGTTTCGATGCCGTAAAGATTAGAGCTTTCTATGTTTTGAGAACCAGGTTTTACATCCTCGTCTGCGGGTTGATGAGAAGATCTGTTGTTGTAATTACCATACTCAGCTGACATCATCTCTGTTGTGCCTTGGAAGAAAGAGGAAGATGATCTTGAAACAGACTGGAACGTGAATGATGCTCCAATGTCATCAAAGAACTCGTCTTTCGCCTTATCAGAAGACAATGCATTACTATTAAAACCAGGAAGAAATGGAAATTTCCCAGTAGTTGGAGACGGTTGAGCCTGCAATGTCACAGAGATTTCAGAAAAAAAAAAAAAAAAAAACACTTCACAATAACATGGAATGAATGAAAACAACTTGTAGCTTACCATTGGATTAGAAAGGAAAACGGGAGATTCCAAGAGTGTTGCAGGGCTAAGGCCAGGAGAAGAGATGGTTAAGCAAGGACTAGAGTCAATGGAGAAGTTGGTGTTAGAGCGGATATTCTCGGTGTTTAACCGTGGAGCATTGAAACCAGCTCTAGCGGCAATTCTTTCGCTGAGACAACCTCGAGAAACATTAGTTTGTGAAGAATCCTTGTTATGATTACCAGTAGTGTCTACTTCTACACCAGTAACTTGCCCATGATTCAAAGATAACTCTCTTTCAAGAACACGTTTCGTGCCCTTCCCTTCTCCAATGGCCGAAGATAAAAGCTCCCCGGGACTAGGACTACGACTACGAGGCACCCATTCTCCCATTACAGCAATATTTTTATCAAAACCAGCCATTTAGGATAAAAGATTTTGTCCGAGTCTCTGATCAAAATGTGATGAAACTCCTGAAAACATGATAACAAAAAAAAAAATCCACAAAACATCACAATCAACATTGAAGACACAAGAAGACTAAAACTTCTTGTATTAAACAATAATAACTGAGCTAAGAAACACACACATGATTTGGACAATTGTCAGTGAACTAGTGAGCTACAAAAACAGATACATAAGGAGTCTTGGGTCTAGCCACCAAAGCTTAAAACTTTTTTTTTTACAGAGTGGACAAAAGAAAAAACAAAAAATATATATTAAATTTGTCGAGACAAAAGAAAAATGTAGGAAAATGAAGAACTTTTCTTTTTCACACGTTAAGCCACTTTCATGGAATCTCACGAAATCGAAACTTAGGATTTTAGATTCTAACGAATAAGCTTCGAGAATTTTGGAGATGAATCATTAGACGAAACAAAATGATCGAGCCATGACGAATAAAAAACTAGTAAAGAAAAAACAAAAAACAAAAAAACGTCTGATAATAGCTTAAACCAGACTGTAAGCAAAGAAAAAAAATAAACAAAAGATGTAATTAAACAAATCATGGTCTGTTCAAAATCCAGAATTTAAGCTAAAGATGAAACATTTCAATCGTATGAAATTCAAAAAAAATGAAAAAGCAAAATCGATTGTGACTTACTAACCTGATTGATTGAAGAAGATGACCCAGAAACACCGTCACAGCCGCCGCAGCCGCAAACGGAAACCGTCAGTTCCGCCGCTAACATCCAACTGTGCTCTGATCCGAACACCGAAACCGAAAACCCACCCGACCCGGATCCAAATTCAACACTGACGAAGAAAACAAAAAGGAGAGATTTTTATAACCGGGGAGAGAGTAACAGTGATATCGTCCTCTTCCCGTCTCCTCCTCTCTACCACCTCTGTGTTCTTCTTCTGGGTCTCTCACAATCAAAAACCCAGAAAAAAAAAACACAAACTTTACAACTTCTCTCTCTCACAAAACCGAGTAAAGATATAATTTTTTCTCTTCTTTATAACCCAGAACGAAATTATGATTGATTATTGAAAAATCAAAAGCAAAGGTTTCTCTCTCTCTCTCTCGTTTATCTCAGTCACAATCGAAACGAGGATCAAAGTTCCAACATTTTTTTCGCGTATGTTATGCTTTGAATTGAATTCCACAATCCAATCAGTAAAACAAAAACAAAAAAAAAAAGATTTTGGTTTTTGGGCGAGAAGAGGAATCTTCGAAAGTGAAAAGGTAGAGAGAGGGAGAGAGAGAGAGAGAGAATTATGAGACCATTTTGATGGATTTATAGCTACGGAAGAAGAGAGGAGGAATAAAAAAGCTTTCGCAGGAGAAATGGTGAAGAAGAAGATGATGATGATGGGGTGATTATACACGAAGCGTTTTTTCTCATTATTGAACTAACCAATCACAGATCGCCATGTGTATTAATGAAAGTTAAGAGAATAAGATCGACGGGTGATAAGTGAGTAGATACCGTGGGGTGTCACACAGGTAATCTCTAACGAAATAATCTGCCAACTTTTCACATTAATTTCTCTTCCAATTTCATTTTTTGCGGATTGGTTATAAATAGGAATATAATTAATTTAAAACGGGGAAATTTATTGGCAAAATGTTCTATTCTGCCACATGTTCTGATTTAGAAAAAGGAAAAAAAGAAAAATTCTATGTTTAAGTAGCATTTTGTTACAGTGAACATAGTCTTATATTGGTTTGATTCATTGTAAATTTCCAAAAAGAAGATAAAAAAATGAATTATCTCAATTGAGTACAAGGAAGAAAAAAAAAAGTAACATATAAAGCAGGGTGCTGGTTTCTCTTTTTTTAACTATAAAGGGGTCACATTGGTTAGAAATATGTGGAACAGAAAATCTATTCTGTAAGCTATTTATAGTTTGTGTGTCTGTAGTAACTATGCTAGAAAATATCTGTATAAAAGGGAAATTTTTCATTTAGGACATAGCATTTTTGATAACTGAAGGAGAAATAAACAGTTCAATCAAACAATTTGTATATTGTTGTGCCTTAAACATATATACATAGAGATTGTAATTTTCTAAATATTTTGATTGGAAAACAAATTAAATCATATGATTTTTTTTATTTTTTAGTGATAATGTATTTTTTAGTAGTTTACTAATTTTTTTTTGGTAACGGTATTTGGATAATGATGTTACCACGTCACTAATAAAATATATTAGGCTATAGGTTTGAATTTGATCCAATGATTTACTATTGTTTTTTCCGTTAACGACATACTCAGATAAATATAATGATATTGCGACGACAGTAACAAAACAAATTAGCTATACGTTATGATCTAGTATTTTACCATTTTTTTGCCAACGACATGTTTGGGTAACGTTGTTGTGGTGACACTAATAAAACTTAACCTACAAATTTTGATCCAATGATTTACTATATATTCTTTTTTTTGGTTAATGACATACTCGGGTTATAATGTTATTACGCTCAAACTAACAAACTAAACAAGCTATACATTTTATGATTTAGTATTTTAGAATTGTTTTTTTTTGTCAAGACATGTTTTCGGTAATGATGTTGCGGCTAAACTAATATAACTACACTTTTTAATCCAATGATTTTTATGTTAACAACATATTCATATAAATATAATGATGTAACGACGATAATAACAATACAAATAAGCTATATGTTATGATTTAGTATTTATATACTATCGTTTTTCTCGTCAATGATATATTCTGGTAATGAACTTGAGACTTCATCAACAAAACAAAATCCTTGATCCAATATTTTACTATTTTGAAATTAAAATTTTTAGGAATTATAAATTAAAAAAAATAGTAAAACAGTAGAAAAAATAAAGCTTTCTAATTTACTTTGTTTTAGCATCACATTTATGTATTTGCATCCAAATTAAGAGTCAAAATGTGTTTGTGTAACTGTTAATCTCGCAGTGTGACAACAATGCATGAGCATCTTAAATCATTTTTGTACGAGCTCTATATATATATATATATATATATTTAGTTGTCTCGGGAAATAATATGGATTCTTCTTACGTATCGAAAAACAATAGTTTAGTGGAACGGAACAGTCGAAGTTCAAACTAGAAAAATGAAAATAGAGACGCAACATAGATCTATATGGCAACCAAATCTTTCGACTTCAATCGACAAGACGTATAACTACATAAGATTTTGAAGTTTGACATGTTCACTTCTCTCATACATGCATGTGATTGTAATACCATGGTTGATGCATGCCTTATTAGATGAAACGTATACATGAACCTAAATTGCAAAATATAAGGAGAGATACGTTTAACAACCATTTGTGAGAACAAACTTCAAGATATTCAAATCTAGTATTATAAAACTCGTAGTAACTGATGAAGAAACACGAAAAAATCATAAAAACGAACAAGACAACTTGGGAGGCAGACAATGAGACAAATATACTTTAGCAAAATAAGGAGATACGTTAGAACGAAACGTTTATGTCTGTTTTTTTTTTTTTTTTTCGTTCTTCTGTGCTTCTTGTTGTTGTCAAAGTGAACGTTTCCTTAAAATATGTATGAAGGTTTTTGTAAACGAATGAGTAAAGGAGGAAGAAAACAAAAGACTAACGTGCGTTAAGGAATGTGAATGATGATAATGGAAGTTTGTAATTTAATCGTTATGTAAGACAAATTAATTAAAAATAAAATGTGAATGACCTTTAATAATAAAAACCTTAAATTGAGTATTAATAAAATTGGAAATTGAGGAGGAGGAGGAGGGGCAGTTTTTCCCAAAAAAAAACCCGGTCAAAAAAGAAACATTGACCAAGCCTTTTCTTTTAAATTTCTCTCTTTTTATTTATTTACTTTTAATATATTTTTTTGGGGGTTTTTTGTCCTTTTAAGAGCCGCAAATTATCCCGTTACGGAGCTGTGACCTTACCTCACAAAAGAAACACACACTACACTCTCATGTGACAGCCCCCCAAAGCACGGTTGTGGCGTGGTGTACCTTTCCTTTTCTTTTCTTTTTTTCTTCAGTAAGATATTTATTTTATTTATTCTAACACAGTGGGACCCGCAAAACGAACTTTGTAAGGACAGTGGATCGACGGCTCTGATGTCTTGTCAGTTATTTTTATGCTGTTCCAACCGGTCCGGTCCTAATTAGTAATTTACTAAACCGAGTTGAAATATTTTTCCAAACCAATAATTCTAATGGTTCTTAAAATATCTAAAACTGAACCAAAACAAACTTATTCTTGTAATTCAAATATATATGAGTAAAAATCTAATTAAGCTATTCATTATGATCTAATATTTTGTTATTATTTTGTTTTTAATCTAACATGGGGGTGTATTCAGTATTTTGTGTGATTTGAGTTTACTTAAGTTTTTGTATGATTTTGATGGTTTAGGGTGACTTTAAGTAAGTTAATATGATTTATTGTAAAATCCTTTCAAATAAAGTTATTAACCTACAAATAGTTTACTATTGTTTTTTGTTATAGATATACTCAGGTAACAACGTTACGTTGACACTAATAAATTAAAATAACCTATAATTTTATGATTTTGTATATTATTACTGGTTTTTTTGTCAAGAACATATTTTCGGTAAAGATGCTATGACAATACTAATAAAACTATAAAGGTACACTTTTTAATCCAATAATTTACTATTGTTTTTTTGTTAACGACATACTGATTAATATAATAATGTTACAACGATATTAATAAAAATATTAAAATGCATTTGATTTACTATTGTTTTTATTCGTTAAGGACATACTTGTATAAATTTAATATATGTATCTCTAAAACTGGATTAAAACTAACTTTTTTTTTTGTAAATTTCTTATATATAAAAATATATATAAGTAAACTCTAATTCAAACCAAATTGAAATAAAATCAATTCTAAATTTTCGTTTGTAGATTAATAAAGGAGCAAGCAAAATAAAAAAAAATGAAGAAATGTTGTAAGATCTATTCTAAAAGAATAAATTATGTGGATTTTAGTTACTTGTCAAGCAAAATAAACTAAGATCTAAATTTAGAAAATTAAGTTAGTCTAAAATTGTAGCGAAGAAAATAGTGTTTTGAAAAGCAAAATCCAAAAATTATTGTATAATCTAGTAATTTACAAGACTACAATTATTCAAAATCAGTTCCGTATCTTGTTAAATTTGTAAAACAATTGTCCTACAATTGGATCTTATGAGTCAATCTTTTATATATATATATATATATTTTGACAACAGTCAATCTTATATTTTTTTGTTGAAAAAAAAATCATTCAAAATCAATTTGATAATTTGGATCTTAATAAATGATTCGTTAACAGAAAAATTGAACCGAATCTAAATGGAAACCAGAATTGAACACAGTTTGGAGTTCACCACAGTAGGCTAGGCTCCGCTTTCACTGTTGTAATTTGTGAACTTGGGTTTCGGTTCATATACCATAGGCTCATTAGGCCCATTATAGCTTTATAAAATATACATATTTGGAATTGACCCAGCGGACTTGTTTTGACTATCCGATGATCGAACCAATTATAGTCAGTTTGAGGAAACAAAAAAGTCAATGACTGGATCCGAGAAAAGCGGGTCGGACCCGTACCGACGGGTTTACTTGACGATAGGAGGACCAAGTGGCTCTAATGGCACAAGCTTCTATGAGGATTCTTTTCCAGTAAATGGATAGGCTGACACGAAGAAGCTGACCTCACCCATTTGATTGGCTCGATTGCATATACATTTACATATCTTCGTTTAGAATTTGCAGAAAGACAAAACCTTTGGAGCTCTCATCTCTCTCCTTTGGTAAATTCTTCTTCTTCCTAAACAATTTGACTTTGTTGAAATCAAGACCAATTCTGTTGATATGGGTTTAGTTGCTGCGATGAATGCTAAGTGTTTGATGTTTTGCCTGCCTCTGTTCATATCGATGTTGAGATGGGTTCTGTGTTTTTTTTTTTCTTCTTCTAGGTTATAAGTAAAATCGAGTTTGGTTTTACTGTAAAGGTTTTGCTTTTAAGTCTAAATTTAGAAATCTTGGAAGGTTCCTTTGGATTTTGTTGTTTTTTTTAGTGAAGTTTTTACTACTGTCTCCGCCGTATAAGTTAACTTGGAATCGTTGTTCGTTTGGACAAAAATAGAAACAATTCATACTATATGGTTCATATGGCTTTGTTTTATTAGACACAATGGGTTTGATTTTCGATTGTTTCCTTGTTTTCTTGGTTAAGTAAAGGTATGTGTACATATATTATCTTTAACGTTTCGTATCTAGTCCGTGAAAGAAATATTTGAAGGTTGTTTATAGCGTCTAGCTCAACCCTCGCAAAATTAATACATAAAGCTTGTGTTCTTAATATCAGAATTAAGAGTCAAGCAAACAGGTCATCAATTCGGTTTAACTGTTGTTACTAGTTTTAAAGGCATTAAGTTTTATAAGTTGTTTTATAACTTGAGTGGCTCTGCTTTCTTGCAAATTCCAGCCTCTTCCAAGTCTGGCTTTAACACAGTTTCTATACAATAGTTGCATGTGTTTTTGTTAGTAAACCATATGCTTGCCTGTTTATTCTCGTTTTGTCTTTTGATGTTTTGGCTCGTTAAACGCTTTTATTCGAATCTTTGTGCATTTCTGGTTAGATCTTGTCATCAGCTTTCAAGTGTGTTTGTCTAGACTCAGTTACAAAATATACATTTTGGCATCTTGATACCTGAATCGTTCATACTTCATGTTGAAGGAGAAGTTCGAAATGAGAATGAGAACTTTGTCTATGTTTACTTTGTTTTGCTGTTTTCATCAATTTCTCTCAGTTCCCTACTCTAATTCCTCTTGTGATTCCAAATGCAGAGCACACAAAAACAATCTCCCAATGGCTGCATTTGCAACTGCAGAAGCGTGTGACAGCAACGCAGAATTAATATCAAACGGAGACCTACGTGCTCTCCACCCAATCTTCAAGATGTATGGCCAGAGAAGATGCTTCTCAGGACCAATCGTGACTCTCAAGGTCTTTGAAGACAATGTCCTCGTCAGAAACCAACTAGAAACAAAAGGAGAAGGCGGAGTCTTGGTAATAGATGGTGGTGGAAGCATGAGATGCGCGCTTGTTGGAGGAAACCTCGGACAGTTAGCTCAGAACAACGGGTGGTCGGGAATTGTTGTGAATGGATGCGTTAGGGATGTGGACGAGATCAATGATTGCGATGTTGGGGTTAGAGCACTGGGATCTAACCCATTGAAGTCTACTAAGAAAGGACATGGTGAGAAGAATGTGCCGATCCATATTGGAGGAACTTTGATTAGAGATGGAGAGTGGCTTTATGCTGATAGCGATGGTATCTTGATCTCCAAGACCGAACTCTCCGTTTGAGTCAGACTCAGTTACCACGATGTTGCGTAAGACTCTTATGCTTCTTGGAGCTACCTACCTGGTTTACTCGATTTCTTAGCAATCTTGTTTAATGTTCCAAATAATCAATTTATCACAATAATATACTTACGTTTTTGTGAAATGTATTATACCATACAGAATAAAATAAAAACTTTTGAAATGACGTGATTCATGTGGTATAGATATGAATTCATATATGTTAAAAAGAAAAAGTTGGTCTAAATAATTTATGATCATTAATATCAAAACGTCCCAAAAAATGTGTAAATCATTTGTAATGGTTTTATGTATAAAATGGAATTTTTAATTTTGAGCTATTTCGAATAAGACCGGCACCATTTTACTTGAAATTTGAATAGAGAATTTGGTTTGAAAGAAAACACAAATAGTGTCGTGGTGGACCAGACTACTTTTATGGAATTGAATAAAAATTTATATTTCATATTCCATACCGAACCAAAAACAAGATCAGATTTTATTTGTTCACGTTAATTTCGGTTCACTCATTTTTTTTCACGACCAAACACACATCGAACTCGTACGGAAAAAAATCGGTGCTCCCCGTTATTTTTATTTTAAAAACAGTATAAAAAAATAAAAAATAAATAAAGTATATTCAATCAAGGGTAAGAAAAATATAAAAAATATTAATAATGAATTTTTATGTTCAGTCACAATAAATAGAAAGCATCATAAAAAGTTAGACAGACCACAACATCATCATATGTCCAATACCATTTGATACATATAATTTGACATGTGGACATTTCAATTTTTATTTTTTTCTAAACACTCTCGTTTGTTTGTTTTCATTTACATGGTATCTCTAAATAGTCTCTACCCTATAGCATATTTTTGTATCTATCGAATCGTCTCTAAATCAAAAGTGAAAATAATGTCTGAGATATTATGTTTTTTTTTTTTAAATATGCATAACTTGATAGTTAAAAGTTAAATTCTAAACCATACATAACTATTAACTATAATATTGATTCCAAGTAAAAAAGAGTGTCTATTATTTGATGGAACTTAATAATCAAAAGCATTAAAAAGGATGTTCTTGTGATCTATCATTGCGATTAAGAAGTTTTTTTTTTTGTAAAACGGATGATATATATGATAAATTTCTTTTTTTTTTGGATTATTGCTTGGATCCATTATACTACATATCAAATTTTGTAATTCGTTACTTCACAAAAATAAAATGTCGTGTAGCAAAGAGCTATGGGGACCTCTCCAATAAGTCACATAGGGCATGGAATATGACTTAACGAGGAAAATGATGTTTTGACTAAAAATTCATCATTTGTTTATCTCCCTTACGTTTCCACTACATTGCACTCTCCCTCTTCTTCTTCTTTTTTATATATTTATAATGCTATTATATGATATGATTTGTGTTTTCTTCATTTCTCTAATGATATTGATGATTAACGATAATTCTGGCTGTTTAATACATCCCGTTTTTAACAAAGATCAATACTTAAAGAGACATCTTCTAGTTTATAAATACTCTATGGATCATCTTAATAAGTTCTACTTGCTTTCAAAGTAAGAAGAGTTTGTAAACAAAGATATGACTGTCTTATTAAACAACTTGATCCTTTTTATTCTACTCTTGGTTTAATTTGCTCTAAAAACAGCAATCAAACATTGTGTTTTATGGACATTGCAATAACATATTTGAGCTTAATCAAAATCAGTTTTTCTTTAATTCTATGTTTTTTCCATGATTCTAAATTCTTTGACCATTTATGCGGTTTTTATGACTAAAAACGTTAGAGAATCTTCGGGACGATATTTCTATATATCATTCGAAGATATTATAGCAACCATTCGTGTATTCTATATGTTATGCTCCACTTTAAAATCTTTCAAAGATTTTTTCTATATATTACCTACGAACCTAGATTCATATTCCTTCCGATAGCAACTTAAAGTCATGTGGAAGTACTGATCATCCTACAATACTTGTTTGACAATGGATCATTCTTGTTCCGATGAAACTTTGCCTAATTTGATGAACTATTAATTCCAAAAACTTAGTCCCAAAACTAAAGTTAGTCAACCTTACATGGAGTGAAAAAATAAAAATCTTATTTGCTATTTGATGGTCGGAGAAAAAAAGCATTCCTATATCCCCTCCAAAATTCTTAAGTTTTGGGTTTTGGAGCATATATTTGTAAGGTGAAATTTATATCCAAAAATAAAAAAAAATTTCATTATTTATGATATATATTTGTACAAACAAATGATAGAAAACACTTCCTAAATACACAAAAAATAGTAATAGCAGCCTCTACTGTCTTGTTCAGTTTCAGGCCCAGAAGTGGAAAATACAAATTCTACGAGTTATGAATGAAACAAACGCATTTTTTAAAATTCAAAATGGAAAAAGAAAAAACTATTTAGCAATTCACACAGCTCACTTACAGACAGACGAAAGGAACAGCGACAAGGAGAAAAAACAAAAAAAGAAAGAAAATAAATACATTTAACATTTTTCATTTTTATTTTTGTTACTTTAGCTTATGTTTATGAAAAAACAGTATGTGTATTAAATATACTTAGGGAACCTGATACCACTTTGATGTGTTAGTGCGTGGTTCTTGTTCATCTCTCTCCCTCTCTCTCTCTCTCTCTCTAAGAAAATCTTTTCTTCTGCCAAGAAAAAAAAAACAATTTTCTGAAAATCAAATCAAATCAAATCCTCCAAAGGTTTGTGTTATATTTAGTGAATTAATTTCTTTGTTAATCTTTTTTTTTTCTATATCTGAAAAAGTCTATGTGAACATACATACTCTCTTCTTCTTCTTCTTGTTCTAGTTCTTTGTTTCTTCTTGTATTGTATTTACGGATTTACAGTTTTCTTGTTCTTACTCTACTTTAAATCTTTGCTAAGTTTTAAAGATCCAAACTTGTAATCTTCAACAATAGGTATGCTTACATAATGTCCTCTCTGAGTTTTTTGATATTTTATGATCCATTTCTTTCTTCCTGTTCATAGCATTATAAAGTTTGGTTTTGTTATATAATCTTTCTCCCCCAGATTTGTTATTAAATCTCATGTTTTAATTAGTTGATTTTTTCCTTCTTCTTTCATTACACAAGTAGTAGAGATACAACTGTTTGTGTTTTGTTTTCTTTTCTTTTCTTTTTGTTCCTAATCTCAATTAGTTTCTGGGCAAAAACAATCTTTGGTATAGAAATCACCAGATGTTTGTTAATTTAGTTACATCTTTGAGTTTCCTACACTGTTGATCTATTGGTCTCTCTCTTATTGTGTGTGTTTCATTTGATTCTTTGCATAAAATAACACTCCAATCAGATTAAAAACTTATGCTTTCTTTTAAGGGCAAATTTTTTTTATAGAATAAAAATCCAATCTTTTGATTGTTCCTGTTTGTTTGTGATCTCCTTCACCAATTCGACCCAGATACTTGAAAATCTCACCTACTAATCCTAATTTTATTCTCTGTTTTTTTTTTCTCTCCATTCACATGAAATAATATTTTCTTTTCTTTTGGGTTCAAGAAAGATCTTCTTCTCATGTGTGTTGTTCATAACCAAAAGACTTATAACAGTTGTTGTAAAACTCTTTTTTTTTTTTGTTTCATAGGCTCACAAATTTGGTATTATAAGATCTGGTGTTATGCAGAAGAGCAGGGACAAGGTAAAAAGTGAAGTGAATAGTAACAGTGGAAGAAACAAATGTTCTTATCATCCACTGATCAAAGCCCTTCAAACAATCCATCTTCTTCTTCTAGTTTCTTACATCTGACCAACTCTAGTGATGAGTTAGGTCAATCACATCTTTCAAGTTTCTCCATCAGGTAATCTCTAAACTTCTTTTTTTTTTTTCTTTTTTTTTCCGATTTTGTTGGGGTTTAATGGAAGAAGAAGTCAACAGTTTCTTTCTTCACCATTGTTTTAGGCTAAAGTCTTTAGCTTTCTTGTTAGGTCTGATCATTGATAATACATCTTTTTTTCTCATCCATTCAGTTTTGCTCATATGGGTCAGATTCAAAACTAGAAGCTTTATTTTATTTTATTTTTTCTCTTTCACCTTGTGTGATTATGTGGAGCTTAAATGGTATTTGAGTTTTGACTATTCTTCATATCTTTTCTTTGATCCGTTGGTCCATATCGTGTGAGTTGATCTGAACAAGGCTCAGTAAATCATCAAAGGAACAAACTTTTCTTTGTTGTGTCATGTCTCTCATAAGTTTTTCTTTTTAAAGCCTGTACCCTTGTTTTGTCTGGTTGTTGTACTAATCGTCTGATAATTTGGTTTTTGCAGAGATTATGCATTTAGTTACCGAACCAAGAACATCAAGAAAAATTGGCCTTTCTCCTCAACAAGTTTGCAACTTTGTTTGAGACATGGATTGAGTGATCCATTGCCACCGATTCAGCCTCTTGGCCGTCCTCTTCAAGTGGAGAAGCTAAACATAACTTATGTCGAAGCTATAAGTAACAAGAGAAAGGCAGAGAATCTTAGCGTCAACCAGACATTAGTGGAGACTAATAAACAAGGCTTTGAGAATGGTTTGTTGGCTAGTGGTTCGAAATCCAAAATACAAGTAGCTATGGCTAACAAGAATCCTAGAAAAAAGTGTGGGTTGGTAGTGAAACCTGGAGCCTGTATGGACAGTGGATCAAAAGAAGATCATAGTTGCCTCTTTTCAGCTTCTGAATCTATGGCTTTGAGAACTTGTCCCATCTGCAAAACCTTCTCGTCTGCTTCTAACACCACTTTAAATGCGCACATCGATCAGTGTCTCTCAGTTGACTCGGAGCAGCAGCCAATGACTAAGCCAAATAGGCCTAGGACTAAGCCACGGTTGAAAGTCAAAACGATGATTGATATATATGCTTCTGCGAAAGCAGGCACATTAGAAGATCTTGATAAAAGAAATGGAACAAACTGGGTTATGATTTCGAGCTTCTCTAACGGGGTTGTCTCTGATAGTAAGCCTGAAGTGTCCAACAAAGGAAAGAAGCGGAGTGTGGTGCGTGTTCGCATTGACGAAGAGGCTGCTGGCATTGGACCTGTTTACATTGATGCTAAGGGCCAAAAACTGCGGATTTTATCTGAGTTTAGCGAGAAGACTTCTGATCCATCAATAGAGCATGAAGATGGTAGTGAGAAGAAATCTTCTAGTGAAAGTAAAGGGAACAAAAGCTTTAGGAAAAAACTCAAGGGAAAGAACTATTACAAGTATCCTAAACCAGTTCGCCAAAGTAGAAAACTCACTGTTCGTAAAGGAAATGCTTTAGAGGTATGCTCTCATTCGAACTCTCATAGTCTTTTTCTGGTAATGTATGCATTTATAATATTGTAGGATTCGTTCTTGATTTGTTGCTATATTCTTAATGTAACACCAGTTTGTTTAACAAAATCAATTGTGTAACAGATATCGGATTATGGAAGAGGATACTCTGACGAAGGTAAAGACTTTGAGAGGTTAGAAACTTCAGGTCCTAGTCAGCGTAGAATTTTCAACCAGCGGATGCTAACCAAACGTCGTCTTACAAGACATGGAAATAAGATTGGGACTAAAATTTGTGATCAGCCTGAGAATGGGGATTCATTGTCAGAAGATCATCTTGTGCTAAGAGGTCCAAGTAATGTGAATACTGATTTGTCCGAGACAGTTTCTTCTCCTTTAAACAGTCAAGGCTCATGGAGAATTTGTGGGGAGAAACAAGTCTCTGGAAAGAGCTTATCTTTTTCTAGGAACAAAAGCATTGAAAGCGATTCATTTGTTGCAAGTCCAGTGAGATGTTCAACACCTGTGGATAAGGAGTTTTCATCCAAGGCAAAAGGCATCATGAAGTTCAAGAAGGCTAGATTGGGTTTCTCAGAGAATGAAGATGAAGATACAGGGAAATGGGAGTCTGAAATGACTCAAGAATGTGATCTGACAGATTATGATGATTGGGATGATGATGGGGAACCTGATAAGGTCGTACTAAGCTCAAATCCTTCATTTAGTGGGGAAGACAATGATTATGAAAGTGATGAAGAGACTGGTAATAACAAAGGAGATGATGATATGCTGCACAATTCTAATGATGCAGATGTTGAGTTTGAAAACATGATTTATGAAAAAACTGGCTGCGAAACTGCGGAACAAGAAAGCTCGTTCATGGAGGTTGATCCCATTCCTATTCCTGGACCTCCAGGATCATTTTTACCAAGTCCTTGGGACATGGCAACTGATGCAATTGAACATCATGGAAACTCTTCAGTTATCACAAGCCAAGTCCACTCTTCACAAGATCAGCTTGATCTCACTGACAGAAACTCATCAGAATCACCTGTTTCAGCAATTTCAAACTTTGCAGCTCCTGAAACACAGATTCATAATATCATTACCATTGACAAGAGACCTTCCCGATTCAGAGACAATGATCAATCATGTTGTTGCCAAAGACAGGTTGAAGAGACAGCATTTGGCCAACCACCACCACCACCACACATGACCCAACAAGATTTGGATTTCTTGAGTAAGCCTGTTCCGGTGATTCCTTCAAATCCCAATCCAGTGTTGCGGCTAATGGGAAAGGATTTGATGGTTATTAACCAAAGAGAAGAAGAACCATCACACAACAGTCCAAAACCAACCTCTCAGTTTCAAGATCTCTCTAAGACACAACAAGTGTCTTCTTCCGTTCTTCATCGTCCTTATGGTGGAAACGGTTCATACTTCGACACCAACACAAGCTTCTACAACATTTGATTGAAGAACCTGATCAAGAACTCTACCTTTCTCCAAAGAAAGTATTATTCCATGGCATTTCAGATCAAAGTCCAGGCAATTTATCCTTAAGCTTGAGAGATATTGAGAAGCTAGTAGTCTCTCCTCATCATTGAACCTCAAGATCTCATGTGAGGTTGAGAATCTCAAAGAAGCTGCTTTAGGAGAAATGGTGAGATATAGATTAGATTCTCATTGATCTCATAGGATATGAGAGAACTTCCACTAAGGTATTGGACCCCCACTTTTGTTTCAAAGGGAAAGATTAAAAGTATGAAAGTTATTATAATGTTATGAAAACGAATTCTAAATAAATAAATATGATATGAGCTGAGTTAACATCATGATGCTTCTCTTTATAATTTGTATGGTTGAAATCAATATGAAGTAGTCAAGATCATTATCATAGTCACCGTCACAACATACACATTATGTATACGCAATTCATTTTCCTTTTTCTTAGCTCATTCCTTATTTTAGACAGCAAACATATAAACTTTATTAACAAACATAGAAAACGCTGAGCGTAAACAACGTCAAAATTAGATGGACAAGTTTTTATACTATAAAACAACAAAAAAACAAACAGTTGCATTTGGCGTGGATGAGCTGTTTTCTTATTATAAGAATATTTGTAGTGAAATATATGAATAAATGTGTTTTGCGTAGAGATGAGTACAAAAACACAACGGCTATATTGCATGCGCATTATCAAATCATTTGCTTATTATCATATGCTTCTCACTCCATCATCATCATCATGCATGTGTATTGTATATTGTCTTTACATGTTAGTTGCCACACATGTGTGTATCATGAATGCACACATTTACAAATACACACTGTACATATTGGCCAACCTTTTGAATGATCCATGCATTGGCAATTCAATAAGTTAGAAAACTGTTGATACGAACTGAGTTTATATTAGTGTTAGAGAGACAAATGATATGATACTCCTGCATCAAATAAGTACATATGTCCACACTATAGTCAAGTGAAAACATTGGTCCTTGAATTCAACTACATATATTGTTTTCTGAAATTGCCACTAACTCCTAAAAAAATAAACAACTTGTGGCAACTTGGAAAATCCTTTTTATCAAACAAAGAAAAAGAAAACACAAACACTTGTGACAACTTGTGAGAGAACATTTGACCGTTTGGAAAAAAGTTATTATGATGAAAGATTTTTTATTATAAGATAAAACGACTAGTTGAAAAGTTGACCCACACACTATTAAATATTTTAAAGTTTTTTTCTTCTATGGTCAACATATAAAACTATTCATATTGACAAAGAAAAAAAAAGCATTTATATTTTAGTTTGATGGCCAATTTATTCATATATTTAAGGTTTTGTAATACTTACGACGTTATAAAAGTCATATAACATTACATAAGTGCACATCTAATCTGAACTTGAAAAAATCCCTTTTAATCTTTTAATTAACAAAAATTAGATCAGATTTTGTATGTATATAATAACTCAATTAGGCGCCGACAAAAATAATAATGAATATTAGGTTGGCAGCTAACTTCCATCGAGAGAATTTTTTTAGTCGACATAAACAATAAATTTTAATATCAAGAAGAAAATTGTATATTAAACGATACACAGTATTAAGAAATTTCGAAGATGTGGTATTCTAATTAAACAATACTTTAGAAGTACTAATAAGCTAAGTACCTACCTTATTCAACTGTGTCAAAGGACCGACTCTGATATACTTAATATATATCAATAGGTTCACTGGTTCATCCAGAAAGAATGACTTGGTTTTGGAATCTAAAACCATTTTTTGTTTGTTTGTTATGTTAATATAGATTTGGATTAGTTTTACATATGATCCTTTTCTTAATAATGTATGAGAGTTTGACTATACATAGTAAAAGACAATCATTAGTGTGATACCAAACCACAATATAAAATTACAAACAAATCCATAATATGCAAGATTTTTTTTTTATATATCTTAATTTAACTTATGAACGTTTGTTTGGTCACAAAATAATCTTCAAAAAAAACGTAAATTAATTATAACATGATATGCGTCTCAAAATAGACCTCAACCAAAAAAACATTTTCTCAATTACTTTTCTTTTGGGATATAATATTTCTGTTATATATATATATATATATATATATTTAAATATTCTTAAGAGAACTTGAAACAAAACAAAAAGAAAGAGTACGAATGCATGCAGGTAGCAGTCGTAATTTAGTTTTGGCTTGAAGAAAAGTAAAATTATAAACAAAAGACGAAATAGTTGGTTTTGGTCCTCATGTACATTAGCATTTTTAAAAAGCACGAGACATATGATATAGAGAACTTTAATATATTAATTTTGAGGCACATTTCATTGCCATTACGTTAACATCTAATCTATAAATTAATTCCTTGCTAAACTTAAGTTAATATTAAATACAGTTGACAAGTTGTCAAAGCGAAGTAAGTATTTGATTCATTTCACGAGTTCCACATATTATATCATATGTAACTTTCAGATTCTCAACTAAAAAAAAAAAAAAAGACTTGCAAACACATCAATGACATTAACATGAGAAAGAGCTATATATATAATCTATATATGTATACGATTGTTGAAATCACATGCATGCATGATAAGTATGAAAAAATCACATATCAATGGTCATCGCTTGAGATGATATGATATTATTGGCGTTTCGTCCAATGTAGGCATAATTAGAATTGAATTTGAGACGAGTATATATACATGTCTTCTTATTGTTGTAAGATATACATGAACTCAATGTAACATACATGAACGTCACCACAAACTGATAATAATACATTGATCTTTCCCAACGAAGCATATGCGCATGCTATTATCCAAATATCAATTAGATCGATTCAAATCTTCCCTAAATAGCTCCCTGCCTCTATCTCTTCCAGATCTCTCTCCTATATATATATATATATATTATAGATAAGAGGATATAGCCATATCGTATACGGTAATGGATATGAAAATAATATAAAAGATTAAATGTGCACATGCATTTTTGCATATATATGGAGATATGCATGCATGACACAAATAAGATTTGTTTTTGGGTTAATCTGTTTCGTCCACGTCGAATGGAATCGACGTACCAACTATTTTGTATACACAACTTTTGCATATTACTTCTTAAAAAGTATATAACTGTGTGCTAGGATGCTTTCTCCCATGCTTGGTTGCTTATTTATTTATTTATATATCCGAATGTTAATGAAAAAATATCTCATAGCTAGTTTCCATCATAAAAATCCCCGGCCCGAAGAGGCGAGAAGATAACATAAACAATTTAAACATTTTGTATATCGAGTTTTGGAAAAAAAAAAACTTAAAACAGAATTAAAACTATAGAATATATAAAAGTTAAACTACTGTATATGTAAATGTGTGAATTAATAATTGTATTTGTTTGTGGATAGGAACATGTATCAATGCAACTACTGTATAGTATAGTATATAAAACGCGCGTGTAAGTAGAAAAAGGTGAAATAATATCTAACAAAAAACGCGTTTTGTGAGAGCTTTGAGTTTTGTGTTTGTGTTTGTGTACGAACTACGAATAATAAATAAGATTTCATGGACGTACAAAAAATGATTTTGTTCTAGTAAAAAGCAAAAGAGTAAAAATAGTAAAACATCTTGCCAAAAGTAAAAAAAGGTTATTATATATCTTAATAAGAGAGAGTGGAGGAACAACGGCCCCCAAAGATTTTTTAATTTAAATATATTATTGATATTATTATAAGATTGATGTGATTGCGACGTGTCGCTTGCTTGTCTGCTTTGTGGGTCCCACTCTTTTTGCTACTTGGTTATTTCATTTTTGAGCTTTTAAGATAACTTTTTTTTTTTTTTGGTTTATATATAATTGGATCTTGCAATTTCATAGATTTTCTAATAACACCGTTTTATGTTTACAAATCAAGTCCATTTATGAATGAAAGGGATGAATTTGATCTCTAGTTTTGAAAATTACTACACATAAACTTACTAAGTAGTTCTATATAGTATTTTCTTTATTAATAAAATTTAAATCTAATAGAAAAAGCCAAAAATAATCTCAAATTCATGATTCAGTAACCTTTGTCTCAGTTCTCTCTTTTTTTTTTTTTTATATATATAGAATGCATGTATCAGTTCTCTTTGTCTCTTCAGAACTTAAAAAAAAACTAGAATTTCTAATAACAATCTGAGGTTATAATTTGATGTGATAACTGATAAAATTATAACACCAACTCCTTTATACTGTACATGGTAAAGCCAAACATACCAACACACATAAAGTTTACATTTACCAGAATAAGAGAATGTAGCAACCTACCTAAATATTTTTTGAAAATTTAATTATACCAAATCTATACTATATAGGAATATGATTTAAAAAAATAAATATATAAAGATGGTGGTGGAGTGTGATAATAATTGAACTTAGTGTGGACACTTTCATTTTTTTTTTCTTCTTTTCTTCTTGCACTCATTTGTTTTATTTATTCACATTTAGTGATAATACGTTTGTGGACTTATATGGAACACCACAATTTTTATTGTATTCTATAGTACTTGCTTCTTCTTCTTCTTCATCTCTCTCTCTCTCTCTCTCTCTCTCTCTCTCTCTCTCTCTAAAAGAAGCCATTTTCTTTTTCCTTCTTCAGCCAAGAAAAACCATCTAAGGTTTGTCTAGATACCATCCATCTTTTTTGATCAAATCGATCTTCAGTTTCTTATTCTTCCTCTTTCTTCTTGGTCCTAAAGTTTGTGGATTTAGTTATTCTTCTTCCTACTTCTTGATCTCTCTTTTTTTTTCTCCCAATTTCAAGATCCAAATCTAGATTTCTACGAGATGGGTATGTTTGTTTTCCCATACGTATAATCACTGTTTCCTCAAAGTCTGTTTTTCTTTTTCTCCCGATCTTGTACTTTCATCTAGTTATGTTTTTGTGTTCTTGATTTCAAGATTTTTCAGATTTGTCTCTGTGTGTGTAAATATCTATCTCTTGTTGATTTCAGTCTTTTACTATCCATCTGCAGTCTTTTGTTTCCTGATCAAGAACCTACCTCGTTTCTTGATTTTTTCTTCTTCTTACAAATGTTGATGATCTTTCTTGAGGTGTATGAACAACCAAACTATCACCTTGTTTTAAAATTACTTAGTTGAGTTTCTTCTGAACTTTGTTCTAATTATTATTCTATTTGGTAGCTTCTTCATCCATTTATGGATGTCTTTATCCACTTTTTCTTATGATCACTCAACATAAAATAAACTCTCTAATCAGATTGGTAACTGAAACTTTTTTTTTTCTTGGTTTAAGACATAAAAATAGTTTTAGTGTCTTTTGCGTGCGAATCATTGTTCCTCCTTGCGAGAGATTTCACTTCATCAAAAAAAAAAAACAAACTTAAACCCACTAATACTAATTACTTTAGTGTGACTCCTTCCCACATGAAATAATAGTTGTTAAACTCTTGTAAGTTTCATCTGTCATAATAAACATGTACTTATGTTGTTATTGTTGTTTTTGTATATGGCAGGAGGAGGAGTCATTAGATTTGGCTAAGGTGGATGATAAAGATCTGGTGTTATGCAGAAGTATTTGGGAAACGAAGAGGCAAATAGTAACAGTGGAAGAATCAAATGTTCTTATCCACTGAGAACCCACCAAATGACCCACTTTTTTCTTCTTCTTCTTCTCATTTCCTACATCTCACCACTTCTTCCCATGAGTTAGGTCAATCCCATCTCTCCAATTTCTCCATCAGGTATATCAATTTATTTTCTTTTCTTTTTCTTCTCCTCTGAATCTTGTTTTCTTTTTTTCATTTCTGGGTTTCTTCGCCAGTATGGTTTTGTCTCCCACCAAAAAAAAAAAAAGTGTCTCTGCATTTCATGATGGGTCAGTGTCAAATCATAGCTAGAAGAGCTCATCACTCATGTCTAGATCGAAAGTTTCGAGCTTTCTTGTTTCTTCGTTGCAGTGATTAATGGGTCAGATTCCATCTTTCACCTTCTGTGATTTTGTATCAGTAAAATTAACGTAGGGTTTCAAATCCTTGCCCTTGTTCCTAGACTTAGCTCAGTATCATCAAACTTGGTTCTTCTTTTTATTTTTTTTCGAAATTTACCTAAATATGCTTACTTTTGATTGTTAGAATCATTGATGTTTAATTTTATCTTTAGAGTTGTGAAAGTAATCAGCTTTGTTTGATCTATGTTGATGCTTTTGCAGAGATTACGCATATAGTAACAGGAAGAACAACATCAAGAACAATTGGCCATTTTCACCAAAAAGTCTTCACCTTTTTTCAACTCATGGCGTAACTGATCCTTTGCCACCGTTTCAGAGATTTTCTACTGTAAGTAATCAGTTTGAGAACACGGCTAGTTCATCGTCTGGGAAGCAAATTGTATCCTATGTTCATCAAGGAAGAGACTTGGCTAAACTTGGGTTAAATCAGTCCTTAGCAGAGACTAGTAAAGGAGGTTGTAGCCAATCAAGAATCATTGAGAATGGTTTGTTTCCGAGTACCAGTATTTCCAAGTCTGCAGTAGAGATAGTAGTAGCTACTACAAGTAACAAGAGCAATCACCACAGTAGAAAGTGTGGAAGAGGGATGGTGAAATCTAAAGAAGATAGTTGCGGCGGCGGTCTTGTGACGACTTCTGAATCTACAATGGCTTCAAAGATATGTCCTATTTGCAAAACCTTCTCATCAGCTTCCAACACTACTTTGAATGCTCACATTGATCAGTGTTTGTCTGTTGACTCAGCAATGCCACCGGTTGTTGACTCAGCACAGCCACCGGTTGTTAGTAGTAAGCCAAGCAAGCCTAGGAGTAAGCCACGGGTGAAAGTTAAAACAATGGTTGATATCTACGCTTCTGCGAAAGAAGGCACATTAGAAGATCTTGATAAAAGAAATGGAACAAAGTGGGTGTCGATTTTAAGTTGCACTAATCGGGTTGTTGGTGATAAGTCTGAAGTCTCTAAGAAGCGGAAAGTTTCGCCTGTTGGAGTTGGTCCGGTTTATATCGATGCCAAGGGCCAAAAATTGCGGATTTTATCAGAGTTCAGCGAGAAAAAGACTTGTTGTACTGTGTCCAGAGAGCAGCACGACAATGGTAGTAGTGAAAACAATCCTTTCAGCCAAGGTAGTAATGGAAACCATAAATGCTTGAGGAAAAATCGTCGAGGAAGGAAACCTCACAAGTATGTTAAACTAATTAATCAAAAAGGCAATACCTCAGAGGTAATTCTATGCTTTCTGTCAATTATTTTGCATATCCTTGGTTGATTTTTGTAGCAAGAATTATACAATAACAGTACATTGTTTCGTACAGCAGATACCGGAGTATCAAAGAGGGTTTTCTGGAGAAGGTAGTAGCACGGGTCATCGTAGAATCTATAATCAGCGGATGCTAACAAAACATGGTCTGATTTCGAAGAAGCTAAAAGAAGAAGGACATAAATCTTATAGTTTGCGGGATCAGCCGTCTGAAGATGATGATGTTACATGGTCAGGAGGAGATCCTATTTTGTCGAGAGGTACTGATTTGTCTGCCACAAACTCTTATGCTTTGAATAAACAGAAGCTGGGGAGCGAAATTGCTAGAAAGAATAAGACTTTAGTTAAGAGTAAAAGAGTTCAAAGTCGTTCATTGAGAGTCCGGAGGAGTGAAAATGAGGAGGGATCACTTGAGGGAGTTCATGTAAACACTCTCCGAGTGAAAAAGACTCTTCCTTTGATTCAAAAAGATAAGTTTCCACCTGCAAAGAATTTCTGCTCAAATGCCTTACAAGTATCAGATGCATCTCCTCGTGCGACTAGCATGAGAAAGTTGTCCTCACCATTTGTACCAAATGCCTGGAGGCGACTATCTATGCCTGTAGAGCTAAACAAAGCTCGGTTGGATTTCTCAGAGGAAGAAGATGAAGAAGAATTAGGGAAATGGGAATCTGAAATGACTCAAGAACGTGAGCTGTCAGATGATGATTACATTTCTGGTGATAAGGGAGAAAAAGATGAGGTCTTACTGAGATCAAATCCTTCATCTAGTGGTTACGATGATTATAATGATGACGACGAAGAAAATAGTGAAGAGGAAGAAGATTTTAACCAAAGAACTCATGAGTTGGAAAAAACCGATGATACAGGTGCTGAGTTCGACCAGACAGACAGTCCACCATCTAATGAAGGCATACCTAGCGACCGAGCAATGTATTACTCCAAGGAAGTTGGGAATATGATGTACGGGCAAACCTCTTACAAGGAGGATGTGAGGTTTGGTTCTGAAGTGGGACAAGGAAGCTTATTTGTAGAGGTTGATACTATTCCCATTCCAGGACCTCCAGGATCATTTTTACCAAGTCCTCGGGATATGGGTTTTGATGAGAATCTTGGGAACTCGTCGGTTATCACAAGCCAAATCCAATCTTCCATGGATCAGCGTGACAGAAACTCATCTGAATCACCTGTTTCTGCAGTTTCAAACTTTGCACCTGGTAGATTAAACTTTCCCGCGGAGTTATCTTCTTCAATCCAAGAACGTTTCTCCCCAGATATTCCTCTGTCCTCCTACTCAACAACCCCAGTGAGCTTTTGTGTTCCATCTCATCATGGGACAAGCGCGGAAGTTGAGCCAATGACCGTTGACAATACAACGACGCCTTCAGGATATAGAAACAGTGATCATGAGTCTTGTTGTTGCCAAAGAAAAGAAAGAATCCACGAGGGCATTACTTTCAATCATCAAGCATCTCATCTACTGCAGCGAAGAGCAGCTTCTTCGTCAATTGCCATGAGCTTAAGAAAGTCACCAACACGTGTCGATCCAAACCACCCATTTGTGCATCCATACAAGATCCAACAAGATTTGGATCTTCAGAGTAAGTTGTCCAGCAGAACGAATCTCAACGCTGCTGTACCTCCAAGTCCTTCTAACCCAGTTTTACGGTTAATGGGAAAAGACTTGATGGTCATGAACCAAGGAGAAGCAGATGAAGGTGCATCACAGTCTAGCTTAACACCAACTCCTCAGTTTCTTGATCCTCCTTGCACTGGAACGGGCTTATACTTCAACGCAGGTCCCTATATAACAAACAATTTCGAGTCAACACATCAAGCCCAAGCACAAGCTTCAGCATTCAGAAACAATTTTGATCATGTAAGGTACTTTTCTCCGAGCTAGTCACCCTAAAGTTTCGACCTTCAATGCAGAAGCAACCGAGAAGTGGATTCTCTTACGAAAACCGATCATCGAACACAGGTGCATTGGGTTTCTTATGTAGATTTTCCTAATGTCCTAGGGCATTTTCTGTGGTTCCATCTCTTTCTGCAGAGACTTTGTGTAGTTTACTGTTTACGAAAAGAAAAACAAACACTTGAAAATAACAAACACTCTGTAGAAGATAAGTAACTTTAAGGCTTTCATTGCCACACTAAAGTTGTCTAAAGTTATAAACTTATAGTTTATCTTTAACTCTTGGTCATTACCATTGTTACAAAAAGATTTGTCAGCAACCAATATGGTTTAACAATTTTTAAGCTTGTGCCACAAAAATATAACTTGTAAATAATTGGTTAAGCATCTCATAAACAAAAGTCCAATTAGTTGGGTTAATAAAAACAAATGAACAAAATTATTATTTAAAGTGTTCAAATTTGATTTGCTGGCAAAATTAGATTGGTTGGTACGAAGAATGATGTAGTAGTTGACTAAAAAAGTCGTTAAGACACCTTTCGCTAATAGTAACGACGAGCTTTATCCCCGGGTTGCAATTTCGGGTCGGGTCAAAACCAGTCAACCAAATCGGTAAATTCGCCGGATGTAATCCTCTCAACGGCGATTATGACTCCTCCTCTTCCGACGACAACAACAACCTACACGTCAATTCCGCTTCCTACAAGCGACGTTATCTCCCGATCAATCCATAATCTCACTTCCACCATCTCTCGCCACCGTCCCTGGTCAGAACTCGTTTTCTCCGGCGATTACTCTCTCCCACGGCGATTCTCCTCTCTTCTCCTCCGATTAAAAACGAATTACCACTACTTCTTCGTCAACTACGCGATCATCGTCGCCGCTTGTACCGGGCTAGCTCTCATCACAGCTAGTCCCGTCGCGTTAGTCGTCGTCGGCACGATCATCGCCTTGTGGCTTCTCTTTCACTTCTTCCGAGAAGACCCACTTATTCTATGGAGCTTTCAGGTCGGTGATCGTACGGTGGTGGTGTCTCTGGTCTTAGCTTCCTTATGGGCCGTTTGGTTCACTAGCTCCGCCGTGAATTTGGCTGTTGGTGTTGGCATTGGATTGCTATTGTGCATTATACACTCCGTTTTTAGAAACTCCGATGAGCGTTTCCTTGAGGAAGAAGATGCTGTTACCGGAGGCTTGATCGGATCTAATCGCCGGTGATATTTTCCGGTCATTCTTGCCGTAATTTTATATTTTCCCCGAATTGCTTTGTGAGAGATGTTCAAATTTTTGTTTTTTTGTTTTTTTCCCATTTTTTTAAGTTTCTTTTGCTTCCTCTTTAAAATTACTATTTTTTTCTTACCGAGTGGAAGCTATTTCATTGTTTGATTTCTTGTGATTTTGTGTGTTGTGAATTTGAGTTTGATGATCTAAAAATTCTTGATTACATGTTTGTTTGTTTTTTTCAACTTCTTCTTCTTGGAGACTATTTAGTTTTTGGTTTTTTACTGTAGTAATCAGAAGACAAGAATGAATAGTTTCTTGTTTGACTGATTACTAACAGTAAAGAACCAACTTGGCTCTATCCATATTCCTCACATGTTACATCTGAGTTTCCAGATACAATGTATCAAAATCCACTTGTTGTGAGCATTGTTACTTTTGTCTTAATACCTCAACTTGCAAGTCTTTTACAGTAACAGCTTCTAGTCTTTGACTGTGTTAGTTTATTTGACACTAAAATCTGAAAGCTTCAAGAGAGTTAGTTCAGGGACCCAAATTTGCAGAAACTGAGTTAAATGCTTATATGAGCCAGACCATATATTCCTCTTGATTGTCAATTCAATACCTTAATAATCTGCTTTTGTTTTGTTGGATTCTGACTAACTTGGGTTTAACTAAAACCAGATAAAACCTATCTCAATTTGTATGACAAAGTCAGATTTTTTTTATTTTTGAGTCCTTTGAAAAGGAAACAAAACTGTGCAGTGTAACTCCGGGACCAGTAACAGGAGAGGGGAGAGTGACACTTGTTGGCAAAACGCAGACACTGATTAAATTGCATGTTTACTATACCCATACCTATTTTTCTGTGTGTTGTCTTTGGTCCTACTTCTTACACGAGTATTTGTCCTTTTTTTTCTTTCAATTCTGTTTGTTACTGAGATTGTGTTATCTCTTTTGTTTGATTGGCTAACTTATCAGGTAAAGGATTCAGCTTGAGAATTCAATGCGTTGAATGTTGGTTTCGCTTAAGACTCTCCCTAAGTAAGTTATTTGATTCATCTACTCCTTGTAAAGAACTAATTAAGTTGCGATGTTATATAATTTATGATCTAAGGAAAAAAAAGGAGATCAAGTTCAATAAGGAAGTGGGTAATGTACATAGGAATAAGGTTGTTCTTAACTAGTTTAAAGTACCCGTTACATAATTTGCTGTCTTCAACAAAACTGAGATTAGAGTAAAAATTAAGGAAATAATAACCAGGAGAACTGTTTGTGGGTGTTCATATCTTGCTTCTCATTCTGACTAACTTTGCTAGTGTTTCTTGAGCAGCCAGAGTAAGATCATGATTATGCCCAAGCATCACTGTCCTGATACTGATACAAGTCCTGCAAAGTTCCTCTCCACTATCGAAATGCCCGCCTCGTAGCAGCAGCTTCGCCCTGGTCTCCAGTAATAAAGCTTTCAATAATGTAACATCTTGCCACACGTATTCATCGACCTTCTTGTTGGTCTTCTTCTTCCAACATAGTGAGCCTTGGCGCCAATCTTGTATCTGAGACACAAATGATTTCTCCACTTCCTCTAACACGTTGGTGCATACTTTCAGGAGCTCTAGTGCGGAGTTACACCTTGAGAAAGTTGTGAAAGCTGTGATTGCTAAAGGAAGAGCTGTTCTCTTGATGTAAAGTACCATATCCATGGCTTGTAGTTGCACCAAAGGAGGTTCTGATTTGAACCCAAATACTAAGAAAGCTGAAGCCCATAGGTGATCAAGATTCAACAGCGGGTTATCGATTTTCCTCACACCTTGAACTGTTGCCTTGGGAGCAAGTATGTAGTCTCGTCTCCTCGCGAAAGTTTGAGTTATCGGATGGAACTGAATCCAACATCCAGGTTGTCTATTGGTTATCCTCGCAAGTCCTAATCTGACTAGTAAATATGCAGCATCCTCTTCGCTTCTGCGTCCTAAACCACAGCCACCGCACCAAGCAAATGTGTGACTCAAACATTTGTTCCATTTGCTGAAGCGGTTTCCACCTGTGGGCATGTTCTTAGCCGCTGCAGCTAACAAATTAACCGGAATAGGGACCGGAGCAAACCAAGCTCCCACGAGTAGCATTTTCAATGAGAGAAGGTTTCTGTTTCCTTCAGCTTGCTCCAAAACAGCCAAACTGAAAGCTAAGACCTTTGCAACGAATGGATTGGATTTGCAATATTGCTCATCGTTTGAGTTTAGAAAAGGTGATGCTGAACGTTCTTCGATTTGAACTTTGTTCACAGCCTCAAAGAGCGCAGAAGGTGGAATTGCAAGCTCTGAAAGCAATGATCCTACCACCCAAAGACCGTAGCTCAATCGTCCCAATTTCTCTTCAAAAAGCTTGAGGATCTCAACCTCCTCTGCCGGGTAATCTTTCTTTCTTCTTCCTCTCAGTAGAACCATTGCATCAGATGAAGGCATTATAGAAAGCTGCACAGTGTCAAAGCTCATGACTTTAGGAAGTCTCGTGGTGATCAAGACATGTGTTCCTCCGGTGTTCCTCGGAATCAGATCATTCAAATCTTTCCCTTCCCACCAATCCTTTTCTATCTCAAGATTATCAATGATCAACAGATACGGCATTTCTCTGAAAAGCTCACGCTTTATTCTCTTAAAAGCTTCAAACTCTTGTTCATCAAAGCTCCTTAGCCTGCCTCTATCCTTCTCAGCATCCGCGCTAACATCAAGCCCCAAGCTGAATGACAGATTCAACAGGTTCTGTCTGAAGTATCGAGCTTCCCCTCCGACCCACAAAACCATCTTATACCTCTGAGAATATCGGTAAGCAAATTCAAGAGCTAGCTCTGTCTTCCCAATCCCAGGAACTCCATTTACACAAACAACACTTGTGCTACTTTTGCTGTTACTACTGTTTCTGTACTTCTTAGTCTTCAAAAGTCTCTTAAGCGAGTTTTTCCCACCATTTGGATCACTCCAAGCCTCACTTCTTGTCTCTGAACATTTTCCAAGCTCCAAGCTGATAAATTTCCCATTTCGTGTTGATACAACATCTGATTCCTCATCTGCAAGCCCTTCAGATTGTCCACTTGCTTCTCCTCTGGTGCTTGGTGTTGTAGACTCAAGATACTCTCCATTACCAAAGAAAGCCATCTCCATTTCCATTATCTCTTTCTCTCTTCCAAGAAAAGATCTGTTCCTCGGAAAAGGAAGCTCATCAATTCCTTCCACTGTCTCTTTATCAACCACACTCTTCCTCCCAAGCTTTGCCCTGAGAATCGTCGCCGTCTTTCCAACACAGATTCTCCAGTTACTCTCATTAGCTTCGAGTTTAAACTCATGTGACTTAATTAACCCATCAATGGCTTCTTTGCACTCTTTATCTATGGCATTGCAGTTGAGAAGACCCATTATCTCAGAAGGTCCAGTTCCATAGAAAATCGGAATCAGATTCTTCTTTTGAGCAAAGAACCTAACTTCCTCCAAGCTAAGGTAGTTGAGCAAGCTCGAACAGGAGACAACGACAATACCATAAGTAACAGAACAGATAACTCTGTCGGCGATCTCATGACTCTGTGTATCCGAATACTTAGCTCTGTCAGCAACAAAACAAGCGATTCCCTGAAGCTCAAGCTCTGACTTTAACCATTTGCAGAATCTCACCAAGTTTGGGTTTTGTCCATGAAACCCTATGAAGACATCAGAGCTTCTGAGCTTGGCGTTAGTTGCAGGTGAAGAAACAGAGACTTTAGCTAATGAAACCCTAGGAACAGGGAAAGTGAAGGAGATCCTTGGAGGAGCAGGATCTGGAGTACAAGCTGATAACTTTAGCTTCCGATCTGATTGTTCATCAGAAAACTCATACTGGTCAGAAGGAGGAGTGTAGGAGCTGCTTGGTACATCTTCAGATTGTGAGCCTTTGTAAGAAAGAGGCGGTGAAGGCTTGTGAGTGGTGGTTGTGGTAATGGGTTGTGTAGCTCTTGGGGATATATAAGGAGATTGTAAAGCGGAAACAAAAGCAGAAGATGGTGGGGACACAAGAGAAGGTGAATTGAAAGGAGAGTTTTTGATACTTGGAGATGAATCTGAAGCATTACTTGTTTGAAGAAGATCTTTACCTTTCTTACTTGAAGAGCTTGCAGGTGATGAAGTTCTTATGGTTAATCCAACTAAACTTGCTTCTGACTCGTCTTCTATTCCCCTCATTACTCCCTTGTCTTCTTAACTTCCTCACCAAACCAAAATCAAAACTCAAATGAAGCTCCCAGCTCAAAAGGTTCTGTCTTTATCTCTCAAACTTGGTATGAATCATTGTGGTCTTTCTCTGACAGATTTATATTGAAGTGAGTGGGACTGTGAGGAGATGAGTCAGAACATGAATGCAACAGTTGATGTAGTTCAAGGAGATTGAGGTAAAATCTGAGAAACTGCATGTGATGTATCTAACTCTTCCATTTTGTGGGGTCCTCTTCTTCTCAACACTGTTGAAACCCAATTTGTTTATTCTTCTCTTTAATTTTTTTTTCTTTTCTCCTCCTACCCTCAGTTCAGATTTGACCAAGAAGAACCAAGAGCTAGTTCCGTTCCAGAGTCTCTGCAACAATGGAGGTCACGGGTCAGAAGAAAAATCATTACTTTACAATGAGTTGTGGTCTAATAATGTTCATCATCATCATCATCATCAAGATTGAATCTTTTTACTCTCGTTTGAATTAAAAGCCAGAACTAAAAATGAATAGGAACAAAATAAATTAAAAAAGCAACATCTTAATAGTTAGTCAAATCTGTAAAGATGATATCTCAAAGACTTCTTACCCTTTTGTTTGATCTTTTTTCAGACACAAGGCAAAAGACGTGTCACTTCCCCTGCATATATTTCACTACAAGCCTGTATCTCTCTGTGTATGCTTTAATGTGTTTCTTTTCTCAGGAAGAGCAGATTGTGATAATGAAGAGGGAGAAGAATCTGGATATGTGAGTTGGATCTGAAAGTGCTTATAAAGATTAAAGAAATAATAGTGATTAAAGAAATGGTTAAGGAGAGGAGCAGCCTGGAGAGGGGTTAATGTCTAAACATGTACCAATGCATTTTTATAATGATCACCCACTTAATCAAAACTAAAAATAATTTTCTAATTTCCTTGATTTATAATCTTGGATTCTCCTTTATTTCATTTGTTTTTTAGCTCTCTCAACCTCTCTCTCTTCTCTCAACCTCCTCTGCAGTTGGATTCTTTTCTCTCTCTCTCTCTCTCTCTGGTTTTTGTGAAGAATTTTAAATGAAGAGTTTAGTATACCAAGAAGACTCGAGTTTTTATATAAAGATGGGCTAATTAAGTGATATAAATCTAACATGGTTACATGGGTTTTTAAATAGTTTAGACAGAGTCAGATTTAAGACATTGAACTTTGAGCTGAAAAAGAAAAGATTAGAGGTTGGGGTTGAAGTAATAAGGGAAAGGAACCATATTCAATTTTTCTCAGTACTTTGGTTGTTTGTCATCTTGTGTTTGTATTTTCTGGTTTTCAAGGAAATAAGAGAAAGCTCCAAATCATTTGTACTACACTACAACATTTATTGAACTATATTATACTTATCATTGCTACATTTAATAGGAGAAAAAATAACCAAGCGAATATTTATATAAAACATATACTTTTGGGTTATAAGTATGTGATTTTCATTTCCAAAATATTTATGTTGCTTAACTATTTTTCTAACAAGTAAACATAAAGTAACTAAATACGTAATAGTAACTTCTCTATATCACATAAGAAAAGGAAGTTAAAAGATTATGCATGTCAAAGAGAGAAATTTCAAATGTTGTCAAAGGAAGTGTAGACATGACATAACATATAAATTTCAATGTTGTCACAGCAAGTATAGTAGACATGCAGTGTAGTGTAGGCAGTATTTACTTTTTACATACAATTAATTATTGGATAATGGTCTACACTATTGTGTGTGTAGTCAAGTGTATGTAGAAATTTTACTTTACCACAAGTTATAACTTGTTTCATAATCAAAGATAATTAGATCTGTAATTGTGTTTCACTAATCATAGTATTGGCTATTCTCATAACACTAACTATGTAGTTTTTTGATAAAGAAATGTGTTTTTTTTTCTATGTACATATATAGATTATATCATATCAATAATCATATATGTTTAGTTCATAATATGATTTGTAAGAAAGTAAAGAAAGATAAAAATCCCAAATAATCAAAGCAATTATATACTTTTTATGTGAGAGCTGATTATATTGATGTAATGTATGTGTACACTGACACAACATTTGAAATCTGATTCACAGTGGGAATTGGTCCAAGACCACTCCCCCTTGTGACTTTTTTATTACTCTCTATTTATTTACCACACATTATCACATTTATCTACAATCATATGGACTTTAATAATACACAACACAAAAGAAATAAAATTACCATCAAAATCTTGGAGTGTGTGACGTATGAACAAAACAAATACAAACGCTGAAAGGATACGTATCGTTGTTTTCGGATCTTGAAAACGGCAACCACTGTATATACAAAAGATGGAAACGTCATCAAGTCAAGGAGACGAGGATAAATTAGTCATTTGCTCGAAATCATATTTATTGTTTAAATATTATCACACACCGTTGAAATATAGATCAGACCAGATAAGATCACGTCGAATCGAACGGTCACAAAACGTCTGAGTCGTTGCTGCAGTAACCAGCGGTTTTGCCACGTGCTCCGACCAAGTCGCTCACACGTTCTTATTTTCTCTTTATTAAATTATTTTTAAAAAATACAACAACAAAAAAAAGGTAACAAATGTTTTTGATCGTAACCGGGAAAAAAAAAATTAACGATTTTTCACAGCGAAACTTTCCACAATCAACGGATACAGAGAGATCTGCGAATCGTATAATCGAACTTAGGGTTTGTCAAATCATCTTCTAATTTGGTTTCGGTGTCTCTGTGAACAGTAAACGAACCACCTTTGAGGGGATTTTGTTTTGCGTTTGGTTTAGGTACGTCAAACTCGAATCTTTTGGTTCATTTCGCGCGTGTTCTATGTTTGATTTGATTTTCCAATCATTGACTCTCTTAAATGTGATCAGTTTCTGTTGAATTTATGTATTTTGGTTTATTAAATTCTCATGTGGTTCCTGCTGGAATTGATGGTTTCTGTTCTTGAGATTGATCCCATCTGAGAATTTGGAGGATGAGAAGTTAGTAGGGTTTGAGAATTTTTTTGTAACGTTATGGATTTGGAGTGTGAAAGCTCTGTTCTTGAGTCTGTTGAAGATAATAATGGCTTGATTAGTGATGTTGAGACTATTGGGGATAAACTTGTCTCTTCTTCACGGGTTGAGGCTTCTCCTCTTGTTTCAAAGGGATTTGGTTTAAAAAAATGGAAGAGGAGGGCAAGGAGAGATCTTGTTAAGGATACTTCTGTTAGTTTGGAGAACAGTAAAGCTCTGAAGAGGGTGTTGTCAGGAGCAGTCGATCCCAATGCTAAACATATGCATTTTCCCGGACCTGATGATGGACAAGATAGTCTTGGTTCGGTTGGTTCGGTGAATAGTGTGGTTGGTCTTGATATGGATGAGTCTAGTCATGGCAATGGTCTTGCTTTTGCAGCTGGTTTTGATTCTGATAACAGTGAGGATCGGAGTAGCAAGTCCTCTACTGCAGCCAGCGGTCCCAAGGTTAGGTATGAGAGGAAAATGGGTCAGTCTTGGGACAAACAGAGAGCAAAGTATAAGGGTGGGAAGAATGTGGTTAGCTCGGGTGATAGTGGTCAACGGAGGAAGAGTAGTGTAGAGAAGAGTAATAAACTTACAGGAGAAAGGATCAAAATTGAGAAGGAAAACCCTCATTCCAGTATGGAATCTGCTGACTCAAGAAGCTCCAACTTTGTGTTTATGCAGGGTGATTCTTTTGGTTTGAGTAGCAGAGAACAGCGCGGAAGAATTATAATGGATTACAACGAAGATAGTAGTGATCATGACGCACATACTTCGAATGGAAAAGATAATGTGGGAGAAGAAGAAGAAGAAGAAGAAGAAGAAGAAACTGGAGATTATTCACAAGGAGACTCGGTTGATGAGTCCCATATCAAGAACAATGGTTCAGCAGACAACTTGGATCCATTAAAAGAGGCATTCAACAGTTTTCACGCTTTGCAAGAAGCTCTCCAAAAAGGTAGCATATTCGTAGCATGGTTTTTCATTTGGATTTTAATGGTTGATGCTTACACTGTTGGTTCCTTTCTTTATGTTAACATGATTGTGTATCGAGTTTAACTGAACTTCTGGTTCTTTTTCGACTGTCAGAACTTCTTAAATTCAAAGAGCTTGGGAAAGAATCTGTATCATCCCTACATGATGGAGGAGAAAGCAGTAGTTGCATACACGCAGAACACAAACGAGCTGGTGAAGCAAGTTCTTCTTGGCGGTTTGGGTCTGAAAATATGGGGGAATTGGGATTAACTTATCTAGATTCTGAGATAAGGAGCCTGGTGAACAAAGTAGAGCATCTGGAGATCAAACTAGAAGAAGCAAAATGTATTCTCGAGGTTAAAGAAACACAGATCCGTGAACTCAACAACATGAACGTTTCAGAGCCGCGTAATGGAAGAACAGAGATCGTGATCGAAGAAATTTTCCAGCAAAAGATGGAAGCAGAGATTGAATATATCATATTCTCAAGATCAGCGGCAGACCTAAACAGACGGATCAAACTGATTGAAGAAGAGAAGACATTGGGTCATAAGATGCTGTCAAAGCTTAAAAAAGTAGAAAAAAAAGCTGAGAATCTAAAGAATCAAGCTCAAGATTTACAAAACCATTGCGTAGGGATCACAGAGATACAAGAAGTGAAGTGTTGGAAGAAGAGAGCATTGAAGACCACTTCATGTCTTTTTCTACAGTTAGGCTTGCTGTTTATGCTGTTTACTTTCCAGTTAACGCCAGGGTCGGAGGCTCCTGTGCCGACATGAGAGTTTTGTTTGATTACTTTTATATAATTATTGTCACATAATGTAACATTTTGGGCTCTAATAGACCAACTCTTCTTTGCTTCTTCTATGTTTTTTTTTGTGTGCTGCAATGTCATGACTCATGACTCATGACGTTAGTATGTGTAATGTTATATATTGTTGCCTTTTTGTCAACTTTGCCATCATTTTCCATAATTTCTTTGTTAAATCAGAAACAGAAGATAAAATATATTCACATTTTACATACAAGTGAAAAGGTTGGTAAAATTTTACATTTTCACATTGATCAAGGTTCTAACACCATCTTTCACCCAAACGGTCAAGTACTTTGTTCTAAGAACAAATTTAGAGTTTAGCTTAGCTTGTATCCAAACAATTTATCATGGATTTTACATATTTTTTGGGGAATTTGCACATAAGCTTAAAATAATTTGAGTCGGTCTTATGTGAATATTTGATTAAGAAAAAAATTCAGTGTAGTTGTGTGAATATTGTGTGGGTGTGTTGTTTGTGATGACACATAGAAGTGGTCTTATGTCATTAGCTGCAAGTGGAGACTTTTGACAATTTGACTATATATGAACAGCCATCTTAACGTTGGTTTGTTCCAACACTTAACAATGCCCCACGTCTTGAAGAGTTTTAGACTTGCAAACCAAATCAAAATATACCAATTATACTTTATAAAATAAATGTAGATATGATTCATCTTTAGACTCTTAGGTGTCTTAATGTGATGATCTTTAGCTTTGCTTAGAGATCCACTACTCTATACTACTAATAGTTTGGTATTCCAATTAAATGGACCAAGTTTTAATATTTATCATCATAAATTTATGGAGAACCCATTTTTGTTTGTAGAGCAAAAGAAGAAAAAGAAAGATAAGATGGTGATAGAGATGAATAAGATGGTTTATATACTTTATGGAACTTTGGTCAATTAAAACTATCATTGCTTTATGTAAATCCAAAAGCATAATTAATAAAGAATGATAGGAAAAAAAGAATATCAAAGCTTAGAGAGAAGAAAAACAAAAGAGTTAATACATACTCTCATCAAATTAGATTAAAAAGCCAAACACCAAAGTACCTTTAAGAACCCAAAATCAAAATATCTTTCTGTCTTTTTGTTTTTTTGTTTTTCAAGACTACAATGTCAACAACTCCTTTTTACCATCATTATACTTCCTAATTTATAATAAGTTTGTTTTTGTTTTTGTTTTAATGTTAAAAAGCTTACTTTGCTTGCATATATACGTCTCTTAGACTCTTTCTTCTTATTCGTCTTCATTAGGTGGCAACTCATTCAAGTCAAACTCCATAAACGTTCTCTTCAACTTCTTCACCTCTTGCACTGTCTCTGTTGCTTGACTAAAAGACGCTCCTGCAGGAGCCGCGGTTTGAGCAGCCTCAGTAGAAACTGGTCCAGTCCAATGACATCTCTTGTGCCCTCCAAGAGCTTGACCTGTTGGGAAGCTTTTGTGACAAATGTTACATATGTGATCTCCATTGTTACCACTGTTTAAAGATGTGTTTGATCCTTGAGCACTAGTTAAACCGGTTACTATTGCTTCGATTCCAAGTAACGAAGCTTCAGCGTTTGCCCTAGCTTGATGATTCTCCACAATCTTGACCTTGTTGTGACTTGCTCTATGACCTCCTAAAGCTTGATAAGAAGTGAACGACTTGTTGCAAGTCACACACACGTGCTTCTCTCGTACACCAGCACCACCTTCCTCAGCTGCTGCTACAACAACCTGATCAAGCTGATGATCATGATCAGTAGACGATGGTTCTTTGACTTCTTTCTCCATCTCAGACAAACTTTTCTTCTTCTTCTTCCTTTTCTTAACCATTTCCAGATTTTTCTCTTCAACAGAATGGGAATTATAAGCCTCCGCAGTATTAAGACTAGCAGCTGCTTCTGCAGTAGTAGCTAAGAACAAAAGAGCATTAGCATCATCATCCTTCTTATCTTCTGGTGGTGGTTCCTTCAAATCTGATCCATCAACATTCAAAACACTTCTCCTTCCTCTCTTCCCTTTTTTTGACCATCCTTGAAACGTTTCCTTAAGCTCATCATCATGATCATCAAACGTTTCCTTATGGTCCCATAACTCAGAGTTCTCATAATCATCATCAAAATCATCATCATCATCATCATCATCATAATCCGAGCTTATAAGCTCATCATCATGATCATCAATAGAGAGTGTAGAAGAAGACGAATTACCAAGAACTGGATGAGGAAGAGGAGGCAAAACACCTTTCCAACCTCTGTCTGGATGAAACCTCATGTGTCCATATAAAGCCTTCATTGATGTAAACTTCTTGAAACAAACACAACAACCCACTTCTAACTCACCTCTTTCAGATCTGCCAACCATACCAGACACCATCTTTGGTCTCACCATTGAGAACTTACGAGTTTCGAGCACATGAATCCGTTTATGTCCTCCTAAAGCCTTACCTGAGCTAAACCTTTTACCACATTCACAGCATATATGCTTCTTCTCTTCTGCTTCCTCCTCTTCTTCCACACCTCCTTCCTCTAGATCCATACTCTTAGCTTCATGATTATCTTCTTCCTCCTCCTCGATGATTTTAGTTTCATCATCATCTTCTACCTCTTTACCTTCCTTAGCTACAAAAGGTTGAATCCTTGGGATTTTAACCTTAATTGATCCAAATCTCGGTCTCCCAAGTGAGAATTTACAGTTGGTTTTGTGACCTCCGAATTGGTCCATGTCGTCTTCTGAAGCTTGAATCCACACAAAACACCAAGCTCAGATCAAAGCTGAGACAGATCTATATAACCAGCTGATGATGAGACTAGCTAGGGCTTGTCCTTGTATGTAAAATTTACACACTAACTTAGTGAAGAAGACAATCTCTCTCAAACTCAATAAAAATTCTCAAAGCTATGGGAAATCTAAAAAAGCAAAAGAAGAATAAGTTGAAGTTGAAGAAGAAGAAGAAGAAGAAGAGGCAATAGAGAGAAATAGAAGAGGCTATAACCATAAGAGTGAAGAAGAGTCTGTATTGTGCCTCACGTTTTTGGATGAATAGTCTCTCTATTATTTTCACATATCTATATATAAAAAAAAAAAAAAGATTAAAAACAACCTTTTTTATTTAAGAAAAGCTATAATTATTAATTACTTAAAAATGTGTGTTTATAGTTTGTGAATTTGTGTAGCGTATCTCTTCTTTTGTATCATTTTAGCTACTTACCAAACAAATACAAGATATGACTTTTATTTTACTTAAGGCTTTTGTTTGACTGTGTTTTTTTCTTTTTCTTTTCTTTTTAATCTATTCAAAACACATCCTTAAGTCTTTGACTAGTAATCACACACTTGTTTTATGGTAATTGTGTAAAAGCAAAGACTATTATTAGGTCAATTTTACTTTTTTTTTTTTTTGTGGTGATTAATAATATTTCCATATTTTCATTTGGCTAGATTCAATTCAAAGGGTATATTTATGATTGATTGAGTTTCCTAATTTATAGAAACGCAAACGTTGTTTTTTGTTTTTTGGTGTTTTTGAGCATATAAAAGTTGAGTTCACGTTTTGGGTTTGAACCAAACACGTCGTCCTAATCTAATCGATCGTGCTTTAGAGAATAGTTTAGTAGTAAATAGGTGATTAATTGCCATTTATCTTTTCGTGGGTATTGCAATTTATGGCAGAAAAATCAAGATTTTATTTAAAGATCAAATGATTATAAAAAAAAAATCAAGATTTTATTTGGATTTTCATTTATTTATTATTACTGAGATAATACCTTTGCATCAAAAGAAATTCTTTTAAAGAGGATTTCAAAAAGTTTGTTAGTAAGATTAAAAAAAAAACCTATATCAGTAAATTGTTTGGATACTTATCCTAATTTGTAATCATTTTTTTTAATAACTTTAGGTCCTTATAAATCATTGCCACGATGATTCACTTCCCTAAATCCAAAATGTATAAGATTGTATAGTTATTAGGTTATCAAAAGTATGTTTTTTAGTCATTTTTATCCAAATATAAACTAATGTATTGATTATTCACCTTATGCAATTTAATTTAAATATATATATATATTTCATGTGATAATTGAAAGAATACAACTAAACAACTAAATAAATATATCTATTGACTCATATTTATATAGATTATATACTTACTACTTTCTAGTAAGAACATATTCTTTACTCCATTGAAACTTCTTCATAAACAGAACAATCCAACTAAATCATCATAAAAGGTCTAATAGAAATATTTTCCCAAAAAAAATCATATTTTATATTTATTTCTAATTTCTTAATTATTTTTCTCTTTTACATTTATTAAGAACCTATTCAAACACTTTATATCATTTTCCTTATAATATATGACTTCCCATCTCTTCTTTAGTATTTTTAGCAAAATAAAAGTTGTATTACAAACACATGTAAAAGTACATTAAACTACTAGATACATAAACATAAAGGTTGGATTTACAGTATTAAAAGTCAAGCTTTTCTTAAGTTATATAAAAAAAAACATCAAATCTAATTTTCATAATAAAATATTAAATATTTTCGGATATTACTAAGACTTTTGGTATTTCTAGAAAGGAAATATAGATCACTTCATTTTCCACTCCTACATTTATGCATCTCTTATTCACCGCCTCAATTAATTCTTATATTTTCACAAATTGTTTGATATGTTTTTTTAAAGTTTAATCTATCGTAAAGCAATGGGCAACTCAAAATATGACCACACGAAGTCGAACAAACAAACATATGCTACATTCGTATGGAAAAATGTATAATCATCTCAACTCCACAGAGCACACGTTTCCCCGGGCAAAAGTGACATCTATCAAGAACCAAAGGAGTACACCAAATTATCATGTTGCACCTGCCAAGACAACAGCAATGGCTAATCAATACTACTAGTATCCTTGGCAAAAGAATACATGGATTTCATTTTCACTCAGTTAAACATGACTTTACGGTTAACGAGTTTTTGTATGCGGCCTTTATTGGCCATTAGGGTAAAATACATCAAGCTTAGTAGTACACAATTTAGAGTTGAGGAGGAGAACTAGTGGCCAAAACACTAGTTAGTGGAGGACCACTCTTACTAGTTACTACTTGTCATTCAAGTTATACGATATTTTTTAGATTTAACTCTACAACAACAACAAAAAAAAGGAGGATGGATATAAGTTAACAATCCCAAAATAAATCCTCTTTACATTCAATTCTAAGCTTAACAACTTGTGGGAGATTAGGTGTAGAATGGTTCCATTTGCACTGAACTCCAAAAAATATGAGATTACTGTATATGGTTATAACTCATACTAAGAGAATATTCTTGTGAAGGTATAAAATTATGGGCCAAAATAATTTAAACCCTAGGAGGAGTCTTTCTTTCTTAGTTAACAATATTCGAATCAAATCAAAAGTCTAAACGATCTTCCAAGGGAGTTTTCAGATTTTGACTTTATGGTTATGGATCCCAAAACAATTCCCAAGTAGTCCATGGAAAATGTACATTTTAAAAGCACAACATATCAAATTACACAAATGAACAGCTTCGGAATCGAACAATGGTCTCTTTCTCTCTTTTTTTCTTTTCTTTGTCGGTATGATTTATGAAACCTAACCAGATATATAATAGATTACTTTTATGTTTTAAAAGACTTAAAATTTGATCTTCCATCAAAGTAATGAATCGAGATAAGTGTAGTCTCTGGTTCGACCATACTCCAAGAGACTTCCATAAGTCCGGTCCCAAACACCGATGAAGAGAGATTCAGTATCTGGACTGAACGAAATCCCAGATATCTCTCCAAAGAAATCAATCTCTTGCTCCTTTTTGTAACCTTGTTTTGTGTCATATATATGGACGAAATCTGCTGGCTCGGCCATTGCAACGTACTGTCCGTCCGATGTGAACCTAATGGACCGTACAGCTCCTAGGTTACCTTTTAGGACAGCAACTGATTCCGAGAGTTTCCTTGTGTCCCAAATACGACAGGTCTTGTCTTGGTTTCCTGTCGCAAATGTTACACCGTTTGGATGCCAAGCCGATGCAAACGAATAATCTAAGTGGCCTTTTAGAGTCCCGATCGTCTGAAACAAAATTCAAAACACCATAAGACCTAACCACGGTAAAACAGACAGTTCAAAAGAATATGAAGTACCTGTCCATTGCTTGCGTCTACCAGTAAACCATCTGGGTCATCTCCAACGACTGCTACTAGTTTCCCATCAGGACTTAGGGAGCTATGCTGTTAAAATCCAAACTAAACTTTGTGAGATATGAGTTTTTATCTACAGAAAAGCCAAAAAAAAAAAAGAGAAAGTGAGAGAGCTTACATTGACAGGCCATAGATAACGAAAGAGTTGGACAAGCTGATATCTCTCCATGTCAAAGTCTCGGACTCCACAGTCATTATTTGAGGCCATGAAATGAAGTGCACCGCTAGTAGACCATATAACTAGGTTCAGTTTTTGTTTGTCCTATTCTCTAAACTTAAAAGTCCAATACCACCAAAGAGATACCTGGAGTTTCTATATATATCTACTGCATTGGTGATAGCGTTTTCGGTGTAAGTTGTACGTGAACAGAAGCTCACACCAGGTCTATCAAGATGCTGGTTATATGGGAAACAAAAAATTCATAAAATTGGAACATGAATAAGCAATTTCTTTGGCATTTTAAAATCATAAAAAGCGACTCCATAGCAGTTGGTGGAAACACCTAAGTTTACTACTATCCTTAATATCCATTCAAAGTCTCTAAACTAACCTTGCAAATAAGTTCTCCCTGAAATCCACCAGCAACCAGCAGCCTTTCTTTTACTGCAAGAGTGCTAACTTGAGTCTCTGTAAACCCTTCCAACAAACTCTCCGGATGTTTCTGAGAAATATGGAATATCGGCTTTAGATAAACCCAACAGAGTCGAAAAGGAGTCCCGACTCAAATTAATAAAATGATTTGGATAATGCTTAAGAAACGAACCTCAGATGGAGCCACATGACCTTTAACATTAAGAATTTCATTTCTGCAACCCGTCAAAGAAGACCAGTGGCTGATGGAGTAGTTGGACAATAGATAAACATCATGTTTTGAGGTTGCCCAGACCAGATTCCTCAACTAAAACAAAGAAGGTAAAATAATTAGTCTAACTACGATCAGCATAAACAAAGAAACTATGGTTCCATCAATGGTACTAGCAGAAGGGACATCTACATTTGAATTTCACGCATCTGACTTAAAAAAAAAATAGCAACCAAGTTACATATAGATGATCTGGAGCAAAGAACCATAATGTTAACAAAAACAGGTAAAGTGGTGCACTTGACAAACCTGAAAATGGAGAATGGTTGATCTCACTGATCTAGAATTCCTCCTGAACGTATAGAAAGAGCTGCCTTTCTCAGTATCCATGCATTTCTGGTTCCAGTAAGCAAGACTAGAGTGAGAAAAAGGCCAACATAGGTACAACTCCTAATAAATAACATTAAAGAAGCATGAAAACGTATTTCACCTTTGCAGATTCCTCACCCGAGTTGGGGATATTTTCATAGTTTTTATACTGTTCTAGCCTAGTTTTTCTATAATCTTTTCTAGTAACGCTAAGTCTATCCCACGGTATACCCTGAATATCCTTCCCATTCCGTGCTTGAGCAGCAGAAGTATCTGCTGCAGACTTGTTCTGAAGAATCCATCCATGTACATACAAGTTAGTAAATTGGTTGTTAGGAACATACACAGAACAAGTAAAAAAAAATGAAAAGAGTAATGGAGAAACAGAGTAAAGAACAAGACAAACCAATTGGTCTTGGTCAAAATCTTCAACTTCAGAATCAGAAGCATCAATATCCCTACCATCAAACTCGGCATTCATATCATCCTCGAGATCATCCATGTCATACTCATCAGCCATATATTCATCTTCAAGTTCATCACCATTGTAACCAGACATAATGTGAGTGAGAGATCAATTTTGGAAAGAAAAAAAACAATTCTCAATCACACAAAGGGAAACAGAACACACCAAAGTCAGCCATATTCTCGACCTCCACAAAATTAAAACTAGCCAATTCCAATCCACCTTCCAAAAAAAATCCCTGCAATATAGTAACAATTCACAATTTAATAATCTGTGACTAAATAATTAAGATCATGCAAAATTCATAAATTTAGCAATGATAAAAAATTTCACAAATCAATAAAAAGCATAAACAACAATTTAAAGCTCATATTGTGTTATGAATTTGCCACCTTTAAATTAGGCTTACCGCAAAATTCACTTCTCCAGAAATTCAATAAAATTGCAACGCAAAAAAATGAATGAAACCATTTAAAATGTAACCAAAAAGAAAAAAAAAATCAAATATAATTCGATCTCAATGCACTAAGAACCCTATGTTTGAAACATAAAAGATTAAAAAAAAATGAATATAAAATAATTCGATTAGATCGTCATCACAAACCCAGAAAACCCTAATATTAATAGTTTCGATAAAGAGAGGTTTCACCAGAGAAAATATAAATGAAAAAAAATGAGAATTATAAGTAATTAAATAAATGTAAAAATCGAATACCAAATCTGAAAATTTCGTGTTGAGAATTGACGCGAATGAGTTAGGTAATCACCGGATCTGATGAGGATCCAATTTTATACACAGCACCACAGGCGTCCATATATATAAAGTTAGTTAATCATTTTTGAATCGAATATTATCCACGTCATCATATTAACAGCCAATATCTAATAACCACGTGTAAGCTGTATCATTGAAGAAGTTGAACATATATATTTACATATTTCCCACTGAGCTCACGAAAAAATAATATCGTTATGAATGAGTCGGTGCGTCTCTTTTTTTTTTTTACCTCACCTCGCGCGTGAAAGTATAAATTAATCTTTACCGCACAAGTCAAACACGTGTTATTATCTTAATCTGTCCACGTCACCACATTAGACTCCCCTCTCCATTTTCCTGATCCGTTTCTCGGGAAAATTTTCTGAGTTTTTCTTGTCCGAGAAAAACGAAAGAAGCAGCGAAATTGGAGCATGATTCTGAGGAAAGTATGGGGATCGGTGTGGAGCCGATCGAATAGTTGTAAGGATTTGGTGATTCAGAGAGCGGCGATTCAGGCTCCTCCTCCTCTGGCTACTATGTTGTCTTCGTCGTCTCTTGGCGCGTTTGATCAGCTTCCGGTGGATATCCTAGTTCAGATACTGATGATGATTGAGCCTAGAGATGCTGTGAAATTGGGCTTAACGTGCAAAGCCTGGAAGTGTTTAGCTGGTGATAATCGTCTCTGGATATTTTATCTTCAGTGTTCGCAAGAGTCTTGGGAATCCATTTTCTTCGCGGAAACTACTTTGCGCTCTGGTTATCCTCTCCGGTGAGTTATAGTTTTGGTGATGGGGCTGTTTGAGTTTTTCTTTCTTTTTTTGAATTTGGTAGTTTCCGATTGGTCAAGAGAGGAAGGAATCAATGTTTGATAACATGTAAGCTGATTCAAGGTTATATGGTTTTTGTAGATTGGTTTCTAGTCAATCAGGGGAGTTGTCGTTTATGCGCATTTATAGTCAGAGGGCACAAGTTCCTGGTTCTATCATTATTGATGGTATGTTTCTGGACAATGCAAATTCACTACTCCATTTGTATACTCGTTTCAAACTTTTTCATTTTGTCTTTCAATTTGTGTTGAAGATGTCTCCTTTTCTCTGTGTGTTGTCATGAAGGGGGTTCTGGATATTGCAAGTATGGTTGGAGCAAGTATGCTTCACCTTCTGGACGTTGTGCTACTTTTCTGGTGAGACATTCGTTGTACTAATCCGGTTCACTGTTGATTACAGTAAAGATAATAAGCTTAGTTCTTCTCTCTTGCACCAAGATAGTTCTTACTAGTTTGATCGCCAGGAATTTGGCAACATCGAGTCACCCATATATGCTAGACTTCAACAGTTCTTTGCAACCATTTTCACAAGGTTTTTTCTTCTTCATTTGATTCTAGTGAAGCTGACTTATTTTAGCAAGTGATCTATGGCTTTCGCTTTCCCGACTTCATGTGGATAATTTTCTTACAGGATGCAGGTAAAGCCCTCTATGCAGCCAATAGTGGTGTCACTGCCCCTCTGCCATTTTGATGGTGAGCTACAGTAGTACTTATTAAGAATACCTCTCGTGGTTCCAGTTTTGAACTTATTAAGGTTTTATTAAAAATAATTTTAGATACGGACTCTGCCAAGGCATCAAGGCGGCAACTTAAGACTGCTACCCTTAATGTCTTGTTTGACATGAATGTTCCTGCTGTGTGTGCTGTTAATCAGGTGAGCCTACTAATCTCTGATGATTATTGCTCCAAAATATTTTAATTTATGCATCGAAATTTCGGAGCAGTGTTTTTCTCCGTGAAATTCTTTCTCCATTTTCTATACACCGTACATAATAGAATGTTTTAAACTTGTTTTTTGGGGGATTTAATGCATTATCTCACGATCAACTGCAGATATTATAACTTGTTTATGCATTCCTTATCAAATGATTGGTTTTGTTACTATTACAGTCATAAGCAAATTTTGAATAATCTTTGCGCCCTTCTCAGGCTGTGTTAGCTCTATATGCAGCACAACGGACCTCTGGAATTGTTGTCAACATAGGTTTCCAAGTCATTACCGTTCTTCCAAGTAAGCTGTTTTCTCTCTACGATTCAACTCTTCTTGTATTTTGTCAGATGTTGTTTAACGACATGGTATAGCTTTTCGAGCTTTAGTCACTGATGATGTGATTTCTTTTGTGGAACTGAAGTTGATTAAAGATGAAAATATGAACATTTCAACTTTCTGAAAATATCATCATGTATATCTCTCTCATTCTTTCTGCACCATTCACTCCTGTAATAACATTTTGCTTTTACTTGCGTTCTGCAGTTCTGCATGGTAAGGTGATGCGCCAGGTAGGTGTAGAAGTCATTGGTTTTGGAGCATTAAAACTTACGGGCTTCCTTAAGGAGAAGATGCAAGAGAACAACATTTCCTTTCAATCACTCTACACTGTTCGCACACTTAAAGAGGTATGACCATTGACCTATGTGTTCCCAGTTGCAGATAATTATGTAGGTTTCCATCCTGAATAGCTCTCCTGTAATATATACATATGATTTATCACACACAACCTACCCAATGTGTTCATAGCGTGTTGTGAACTTCAACCAGTTCTGTATAATTGCTGAGATATCCTTGGAGGCGTTGGATGTGTGCTATTTGCCTATTCATGCACAAGCTTTAGTTCATTGCACATTTTATTTGAAGTTAATGACTAATTAGTTCTTCGTTTTCAATCGATTTGTGTGATACTTTTTATTTGTTATGCGAATGTAGAAACTGTGTTATGTGGCTCTTGATTATAAAGCTGAACTTTCAAGAGACACACAAGCTTCAGTGGAAATTCCAGGTGAAGGATGGTTTACTTTGTCAAAGGAGCGTTTCCAAACAGGGGAGATATTATTTCAACCACGTCTCGCTGGAATGTAAGACTTGCATTTCTTATTACAATCACATTAAACCTTGATGTCTCTCTTAAGAGGTTCGATCTGATTAGTTCTGGAACTAGAAACAATATCATCTGACCATACACTATAGTGCACCAACTTGTTTATAAGTTTACTATTTTCATCATGACTCTTATATATGCTTAAATTACACAATTGTCATACTATAATCTACATGCATCTCTGGCCTGGGTTATTTTCTTGTGAAGAATCTCCATATTTGGGCCAATTTATATTGGTTTTGTCCTTTCGAGAACAGGCGTGCTATGAGTCTGCATCAAGCAGTCGCGCTATGTATGGACCACTGTGATGCAGCCGGACTTACAGGTGATGATAGTTGGTTCAAGACTGTAGTACTGACTGGGGGGAGCGCGTGTTTACCAGGGCTTGCAGGTTCGATTAATATTATAGCTCGTTTTCATTTATATTTTGCAATGGCACCACTTTAAGTTTACATCGATAACCAGTACTTCTTGCATACGAATTGAAAGATCTATGAAACGTAATCTAAAAGATACATGTCTGACGTGCTTATGTTTTTTTTTATTGGTGAGCTGTATCCAGAAAGGCTAGAGAGAGAACTGCATGATCACCTTTCTTCATCTATAAGCAATGGAGTCAGAGTAATACCTCCTCCTTGTGGCGTGGACACAGCATGGCATGGGGCAAAGCTTATCAGTAATGTAAGTGACTATATTCTAGCCATATTTATGAACCTACTAGTAAATGACACAGTAGATTATCTCCAAAGTGCTACTATCTAAAACCTACCTTTGATATTATATACACTTTGGAGACATATGGTGAAATAAGCATAGTGTGAGAATACAGATGCATAAATTCTCCTTTACGTATCGCAATTTTATATTGGACATTTATTCGAATATTAAATCAACAAAGTCCAGTCTTGTGGATCCTGACGCAATTGCATTTCTACTAATTACTATGTGCAGTTAAGCACCTTTCCTGGTCCTTGGTGTATCACATCGAAGCAGTTCCGTCGCAAGTCAAGACTCATGTGGTGAATGAATCTCTCAAGATTATTTATTTTCTTACCATTGGAAAAAAGACCGTGTGAGAGGCAGCGCAAGTCTTTATATAGTTCGGTATATGTATAGTGTCACTACTTGATTGATAGATCCGTAGATAGCAAACATTTAGTGAAAACTACGATAAATAAGTAACTTGTTTACCTTTAAACAAACATACATACAGTATTCTAAAGGAGCTTGTTGATACCTCTGCTGATGTATATATAATACGAATCAGTATTCACTTACGTTGTGCGATTTATATAAGAGACAAAAGTGATACACACAAAAGCCATAAAGTTATATCATTTAGAATTGTTTGAATCCCCTACAATCAAAAGAACGAGACAGTAAAACAGCAAAACAAATCGTGGATATACATACATATACGCTCTTCCTCAGGTAGTCGTCACAAGTTGAAACCTCAGAACAGCTTAATAAACACCAAGAAAGCAGCGGAAAGGGTCAGCGAAAGACAAGAAGAAGCTGTGGTGGCTGCGTTTGCGTCTGCTGATGAACCGGGAGATGTAGCGGGGCATTCAAGACCTTCTTTGCCTTCTTTACACTGGTTAGCGAAAAGTCCAGGCGGGTATTTACCATAGAGATTGATGTAACTGAACATAGTGGTTGCACAATCATTGCTAAGGTCGTTGAGTTCGTCAGCGTAAGGACAGGAAAATTGCTTGAAGGCGGCGCAACATTCCTTTGGTGGGAATTTGGGACCTTTGCATTTGTCAGTTATGATCTTGTAGTCCATAAACTCGAAGTTCACAGGACATGCTGTTCCATGAAAAGAGAAACCAATGTCACATAAAAGAAAGAAAGAAAAGAAAAAACAAACATTCTCAAAGCACAAAGACTTTCCACAGATGCAAAACTCCACATGAAAAAGAGTTTTGAAGAGGTTTGTAGCTAATCATTTAGAGAAAACACCAAAGAGAGCATCAAAAAGTCTCTCAGAATTCATAACTAAGAATCAAGATTGTAAATCAAGATATCTGTATCTGGATCCGTGTGTGGAATTAACACATTGGGGGAAAAGTATATAATTGGAAACTCTTACTAAAGATCTTCATACTAAAAAGAGACTAATCAATTGCTGGATAAATTATAAATGAAAAAGCAGTAAAGTAAAGGGAAGATAGAGAAATTATAAAAGAAGGGAACTTGCTTTTCTTGGACTGAAGCAGGTTTCTTCCAGTACCCAAACTCTGAGGTTCGAACACACCATCTGTAATAAGAAAACCAAACAAAAAGAAATCAATAATGACCCATTCAACCAAATCAAAAATAATCTGATCAAGAAGGATTGGGCAGAGAGATTCTGGGGAAGAAAGGAACAAGAAAAGTGTGTGTATACCTGAGATGACACTTGAAGATGAGAAAGAAGAGAACAGAGAGAGTAGTAGAAGAGAGGAAAAGAGAGCTCTAGAGAGGAAGTTGAGCTCCATGGTTGGTTCTTTCGTGACACGAAGAGATCTGATTCAAGAAGACGAGCTATGGCAAACCACGAACACCAAGATAGAATGAGAGAGAGAGAGAATAAATTTTTTAAAGAAAATTATTTTAAAGTATAAAATTAAAGAACATAAAAAAAGATGGGTCGACTCGACGGTGACATATTAATATAACATTGGATTACAGCCTAGCCTACTACAATAACGCGGAAACATGCGAGCCTGTCTGATTCTTCAACCCACCCAAATTCCAATACGGCGACGTTTGCTCTTCATTGTCGTAATTGGTTTTTTTCCAACTCTTGTCAATAATACAACAAGTGAAATTAATTTCACGAGAGAGTGTTGAGAGTAGTTGTTTACGTAAATGGATTTTGACATTGTTTTTGGCTGCACTGCACATAATGAATAAAACGTAACGTTACAACAAAACATATAATCAATAGAGTTTCTATAAAAGGTTTACGGATTTTGGCATTTTGCTATAAGCACTGTAACTAAAAACAGATTTGAGATTCTGTTATTTTACGTGATCACCTTAATTAGTCGGATCACGGATGGGATAGTGAAGTATGAACACTTCAAAGCCGTGTGTTCTTTTTTAATATACGTAAAGAACTAAGCAGAGAAGGTATATAAAACATAATCTAAGATTATAGAAAAAGCTAGACGAACCATGTTTGCTCAACTATTACAATTCACCAATTATGTAAGCTTTTGTATTTGGTAAATTAAAGATAACTTTTCAATATTCAAACACCTACGTATAATTATTTGGTCCCTCACTCAGATATTTAGATATTAATTTACAGGGAACAACCAAAAAACCAAAAAAATAGTTCCAAAGGTCCTGCAATGCTGCATATGGAATGTTGCGTCTCCTCATATCACTCTTCTGACAATACCAAAAACTTCACATACAGCATCGTTTTCTTCGCTGCCAACATTAAAAAGCACTCAGCCTCAAACTTATGTATATATATACACACACAAAAAAATAGCAAATTAACCCAAAGCTAAGTGAATGGGCTTACGTTGTGGTAATTAGATTCAAGCTGTTCTGTTATCTGAAGCTGTTTTGTTAATGTTAAGTGTAATACCTGAAACACACACACACAAAAGAAGATGTGTTATATGACATAAAACATCATTTAGAAAGCTTCTTATAAGAACAAGATCGAGAGTGTAGTGTGCATGCATACTGATTTGGTTTTGTCCAGATCGAGTTCTAGAGACTTGATCCTCTCTAGTGACTCTGTTAACAGCTTCTCATTCGCCTCTGGGATTTTTACAGGTTTTCTACTTATCTCTGTGAACTCTTTCTCCATCTTCTTTAGACGATCTAGACACTCAAGAACCTGGTTGTTTATCGATGAATCTGGTACTACAAATGTGTTCTGTCTTTGCCAGTATCCAGGCAATAAGAAAACAAAGAGAGCAAATAGCTTCAGTGGAAAGGCTACTAGTATTTTCACCAAGCTGAAGATTTTATCGCTGTTGATCTCTCTAAGAGTATTAAAACGTAAACTCTGACCACCTGAAATGCGAAAAATGATCATTTAAATACACAGTAGAGGTCTGAATCCATAAGAACATGACATTAACGGAATAACTAGGCATGAAGACGAAGAAAACACCTTCTCTTCTGGATGAGTTTGCAGAAGAAGAGTTATCATCGTTCGTGTTAAGTGATTGGGTTTGAGACCGTTCTCCTTGAGCCAGTTCTACAGATTCCACGGTGGTAATGAATTTATCACCATCTGATGTACTAGCCTGTACAAAGAGGGTACAAAGAGGCTTAGTCAATAACAAATCAAAACAAGATATTTTGAAAGATAAACAGGTCGAAAAGAAATGTAAGTTCTGAAAAGCACCTTATCAGAGAGTGGAGGACCTAAACGTGTGTACATTGAAGATCTTGACCCAGTGGAAGAGTAATGTTCTTCAGACTCTGGCTCTTCTTTTAAAGTCTCGTTATACCTTTCCTGACAAGAATTAAAGTTACAACTTTGTACGTTACATAAAAACCAAAACCTAATAAAAGTACTGGAGCATTGCGCTCACTTTAGGAGGGATCATGTGAGTGGTGGAATCATGATCTCTTATATGAAGAGGGGCTTTTATCGTTTGCGGTATAGGATTTACTTCCATGTGATGTACGAGCTGCAAAACAAGACACCGGTAATGTCAGCTCAACGTATCATTACAGCTCATCTATGGATACCTGAATCTTATAAACAACAAAAAAAGAAGGGTATGCCTCAACTATTTCAGGATCATTCCAGGGTCCTTTGTTAGACCTCAAGCACCCTCCCTCGTTAGGACATTTGCATAAGCCTCCTAAGAATTCTGGAAGTTGACTGTACAAAGACAAAAGAAGAGAAGTAATAGTAATGTTAGTAACCCGTGACCAAAACTTGAATTAGGCTCTCTGCAAAAAGAAAATTTATGAGAAGATCTATAACAAATTAACCTGGAATCAATTGCTTCAAGTAACTTTGACAAGGACCTTGGCTCCAAAACCTGAGTACTACAAGTAATGAGTGGTTTCTGACAACAAATTAAGGAACCTAGGCTTAAAAATCAGAGCGGTAAGTAATCATTACTTGTATCTTTGCAATAGTCATAGGATCAAGAAGCTTCTGCGCGGCAGGCCAAAGAATATTCCTGAAACCAATCCCTGCATTGACAATGAACATTCGGTGCAAAGTCTGCAAGAGTCAGAGACCATCATTACAAACTTTTAGAGCAACCGAGATATCCATGTCCACTCGGCTCATTGGAGTCATGACAAAATCTTCTCCCTTTTAACGCTAGGAGTTAGAGTAGTAAAGAAAGTGTATTCTTCAAAGAGTTAAGTACCTCAGGGTAATAATTGCAATCTACTTTAGCAATGGTGGCTAGGAGATTAGCAGCTGTCGGAGTAAAGTTCTTCATGCCCTGAAGAACCACTAGAGCGATGTTATAATTCAAGAAAAACCATGTGGTTCATTTGAAGCATCTACATGAGTTTAACATACCAGGCCTTCAACATCTAGTATTGTAGTTGTTGTAGTGACTCGTCGCTTTGCTGCAATTGAACACGCAGGGAGCTTCTCTTGAAGGGTCCTCTCAAATTCTTGTACATGGTACTTCAAGTATCGCTCTATGGTAGTAACTTCCATAAGCTTACCAGGATGAGCTTTCCCAAGTCTCTCAATATAGATAGGTCTCCCATCTTTATCAACTCCATGATACCCTTGAGGATAGTGCCTTGTCACTTTGTCCAACTCTTTGAAATTGAAATCCTATTTCATCCATTTTGTAAAATGTTGTTATTTCCACAGCTAAATGCTACTAGTCCCTTTTCTGTAACTCAAGAGTGATCATGAAGCAACAGCTGAAACTATATTACCTGTATAATGCTATCGGTTCCAAATTCTTTCCTCCATTTAAGCATTTCTTCCCATGCCGTGACAGTCTTCTCAATTTTGAATTCCATGGTTTTGAGAAACCTACACACAAACAAACAAAAAGCATTCAACTTTACGTTTTTATAAGAAAAGAGAAAACTTTGGTAGCAAATGCATCTAAATTCTAAAGTGATAGATGCCGAATCAAAATTTCTGAGTTTTACCTTAACAACATATGGTAATCATCATGCCTAGGAGGCAACAAATCTTTCTTGAGAAGCTCTTGACGCAGTTTAGAAACAATCTTCTCCTCATTCTCATCCCTAACATCTTCAATCAAAGGAACCATGGAACCGATTTTACGTTTGCCTTTCCTCTTCAAAGGATGTGTAAGTTTACTAGAACAACTAATAGCCTTCTTTCTCAGATTCCCAATTCTAGAACGCCTTGGCTCATCCTCTATGCACTCAGAATCTGATAGCTTCTCTCTTGTTTGTTCACAACCTGAAACAATATGTTCATATACACCTTCATACAACAAAATCAAAGGCAAGAAGCTAATTTCAACCATTTCACTGAGGGATCTAAATTCTAATTTCTCAAAATTACCTGACATCTCTTTCAGAACGAGTCAAAAACGTTTCAAGGGATGATAGTATCTCCTCTGAAGCAAAAATAAAAGTAAAAATCAAAACTTTGAGACCTAAACTTCCTCCAGAAAATTCAAAAGCAAAAATGGTGCAGAAGAAAGGAATCGACAAAAATGAAAAACCCTATAGAGGCTTTCAAGTGATACGCAAGAGGTTGATTCCAAAAAGAGGAAACATTTCGAAGAGATTCAAAAATAGTAACAAAAGCTGTAACAGAGGACATCGATATCTAAAAAGGGTAGAGAGACAAAAGATGACGACAGTTATACCTCCTTTCTAATATACAAAGAGATCTCTAGAGAGGATCCAAGAAGTTTCGATTTCTCTGATTAGAATTTTTGATTAAAAAAAAACAGAGGATTTTTGGTTTCCCTGCTCTCTGTCCCTGCTCTGTCTCTGGGTTACCCTTTTTAAAAGAGTATTTGGGGGACTCTGTTTTTTTCTTAAAACCATGAAATGGCCGACATGTCTCTCATTCGCAGTTTTTAACTCCTTCCCACACCTTTGTTTTTTATTTTTTTAAATTCCAGTATGATTTAAAATCGATCTGGGCGTCGTTTTAAGACTGAGATAAATCTTTTTCGAAGTCGTTTTTGGCTTTCTTTAATTTGGTAAAAATGTACTGGCTTGCACACGTCTTCTTCTGCGGTTTTTTGCATCGCGTGTATTCATTCATGCAGCTGCAGTGTGTTTGAAAGCTCCTCACTCCTTATTAATTGATCTACCAAACTTAGACCCAATCCAACTTTTTTTTACTTCAAAATTCTTAACTTATTAACTAAAACATCCTACATACTCCATTTTATATTTGTCAGAAAGGTAAAAAAAAAAAAAAAAAAAAAAGTCATTGTCTCTGTTGCAGACCTCACCGAACACACACATGATGTGCCTTAAACCGAATTCTTCAACAATTTGAATACATTATGTATCTTTGTCATATCCACGCATAAGAAAAAGACTGAATAAGTAGCTAAATTCATAAAATACTAAATTAAACCAATTTAATAATAACTTGTTCCAAATTCAATAAGTAGATTAGAGGAGACACCCGTACCAATTGAACAAGTCATACTCAGTTATTATTCTCCTTTCAAAGACTTATCTAGTTGAGCAAACAAATAGACCCAATAGAAATCTTACACCGTAAATACCTGACAAGATCATCAAAATGTGTTGGTCCAACTCCAATTTTAATTTCACAAATCAGAGTATTATGGGCACATGTTTATATTATCTACAAATTTTTGTGTGTTTCTCTTCTTCAACACTAGCAAATGGACATATCACGAAAGCCAATTATTGGCTAAAAGCAATGGAAGATATCAATGTCTCAATAAGGCATAATAAAGCTCATGTACACACCCAAACACACGGCTTCAAGATTTTTTTTTTAAAAAAAACTAACAAGCAAGAGTAGCCAAAAGTAAAAGTCCAAACTCAGATTTTTTTTTTGGTTTCTTTATTTCTCTTCTGATTAATGCGCAATGTACTGGTGTGGGTATTATTGCTAGCCATCATGACATTGCATACTTCTGGGTCCAGGATCGGGCAGTGGCCTCGTACTTGACTCTGTCTGTCTTGTAGATGTGAGCTATTTCAGGAACCAGGGGATCATCAGGATTTGGATCTGTCAGCAGTGAGCATATCGACAGAAGAACCTGTGGAAAATGAAGACCAACTTTACTTCTTTAGCTTCTATGCTTATAAAAGAAACTAACATCGACAAACTCCATAATGAGAACCTATGTAAACATATATAATGAAAATCCAGATATCGTGTCATCAATACTGATTATAAAGACCATAACCAATATAACACAAGGTGACCCCAATTAAAAGAGACCACCATTCTAGAATTTACTTGACTAATGCCATATCACAACCAGGACAAAATAAAACAGAGTTTTATCTATATGATGAAGTCATTCACTATACCAAACGGACTGGGATATTGTTTTTTCATATAGCCGATGGAAAGACAGATTGGTCAAATCACACCCGAGCGAATGCAAAAAGACATGACCATAACTTAGACAGGGTCACGAGAAGGTGTTGTGGAAAAGAGACCGAGTATGGAAGTGAAACAAATTGATCACCTTGGATATGGTTAGCGCAGGGCTCCACTGGTCTTTCAGAATGTCAAGACAGATACTTCCGTTACTGTTGATGTTTGGGTGATAAACCTTGGTGCGGAAGGAAACCTACATCATAAACTCTCTTACTTGATTAAACACTTACTCTACGCATAAGGGTGGATGATAAACTAATAAAATAAGCTTCAACAAACAAACATAACAAGTTGTTACCTTTGGTGGCTTGAAGGGGTAATCTGGTGGGAAGTGAATGGTAACAACAAAAACACCTCCGGTGAATGGGCTTTCGGTTGGACCCATGATAGTTGCTTGCCAGTGAAACATATCATCTCCCACAGGACCTGATAACAAAACCAATTCAGTATAAATAAAATAAAACTCAATACCAATCATTATCTTCAAACTGACTAAGTTGTTAAGTCTACAACAAAGACACCAAATCTCTCTAAGAGTGTAATTGGTAAGTAGCAAAAAATTCCAAAATTTTGACAGTAGTTATATGAAGGCAAATTCACAAAAGAATAACAAAACTCACCGGCACTGCATGACACAGGAGGATCCCTTTGCAAGTCCCTAAGCTCCTTGTTAATTCTTTTGGACGCCATTGAATAGTCCCTGCTGCTGCCAAGTTAGAGAAAAGTAACTCCGATTAAGTAAAGAGATTGCCAAACTCCGAACATGTTCACAGATGCAAAAAAAAAGCACTACGCATAAGAATCAGTTAACATATGGACCAAGAACAAAGCTAATCCTCAAAGAAGGTAGATTATTATTTAAAAGTAAACATCATCAGCAATTCAAGACTCGTTCAAGTTTGAAGATACACTTGCATGAAGAAACGAACAAGAAAAATTCTTCAGACAATACGGATAACGCGATCGTAATCTAAACTAACAAGCCGATCAGAGAGGTAGTGATTTCGATCAAACAGAGACAAATCATCAAACAATTTCCAGAATCGGATCAATCAAACAGAGACAAAATCATCAAATTACGCATAGTTTAAAGGTATATCTTCATAAGAAGTACGAGAATCTTCTGGAAAACACGAGAACAGAACAAAAAAACATGGATCAACGCTAGGTATACAAACAAACAGCCAGAGAGATTAGATCAGAAACTGGGTAAACCCTAAGAGAGACGATGATGATGATGATGAATCAAACCGAATTCGAGATTTTGCGGAGCTAATTTTGACCTACCTCTTTTTTGATCTAGGGTTTTGGATTTGTGTGATCTTCGGAAATCTCAAAGGGCTTGGTTTTGAAGATGAAGCATCGATACGGTTTAAATAGATTCCCTCATTCGAGCGGTGAAGATTTGCCACGTAGCGGAGCTAGATTCTTAAGTTATGGGCCTTTTAAGGCCCAATAATATTCTACTTTAAAGCCCATTGACTCTTTCACATCGATATGGGAGGTTCCTTTTCTGCGGAATAAGAAACTTCGGCAAAATTGGTAAAATCAGAAAAAATAAGTGTACCGGAATGGATTTGGTAATTTGTAATGATGGATGGGCTAACCAAAACAATGCAAAATGCTACATTCTAAAATAGTTCATAACAAAACTTTTGCTATATCACATTCTAATTGAGACTGTCTCAGACTCTCACTGTATCATCATCGTCTACCGATAAAAAAAACGAATGATATCACAATTTAACTCAATAAAGCTTTGGTATGTTGCAGAATAAAGCATCTATCACAGTTTTGTATATTAGAACATTTATATTTGAGCAGTTATGTTTTGTTGTAATCGATAAATTACAGATTAGAATGTGTTTGCATTTGCATATTAATGTTCGCTTCATATCTTAGCTGTTAACATCTAAAACTGGATAGAAATTTCAAGATCATCTTGAATAGATAGATAGACGTACATGGTAAACGGCAAAGGAAGCTACCTTGCATCACAAGAAACCAGAATTTGAGAGTTTATCAATTATCAATTGTATCTCTAGTATCAACGATCTCATAGCTCCCAGTTTTTTCACTTCTTCTTTGCGTTGGACTAGGCACAGATCGTTTAACTAAATGGTCCACCACTAAACCGAATGAATTATCGGTAGACCAACCGATTTACTTAAAGCCTTTGCCGACTATAATTAACTGACCAATCGAGTAGTTCTGTCTATTATGAAAACAGAGTTGACATGTAACACCAAATGTCGAATTCAGTAATAAACATGTGATAAATACTCGAGAACAGAAACATCATTGCTTTACACAATCCACATATTACATTGAAAATTTGAAGCAAGCTTTACTTTGACGTTTATGTTATCCAAAAACATATAATCATTATTATCATTACCAATTTACCAGACAAACCATCATGATTTTAGTGTTTTCAATATGCTGAAAATAATAAATTAAAAAGCTTATAAAATAATTCTCTTGGAAACCCAACTTTCCAACAACAACAAAAAAATGAAAAACATAAAACAAAAACAAACCCCAAAGTCTCGGAGAGAGACAGAGACTCATCAGCTCTGGTATTTCCATGACATTTTGTCATCTGATCTCTCACCGGGACAATGATAAACAGACAGATCACACGTTCATAATTCATATATACAACAATTCTATCCCAGGGGCAAGAGACAGTACCGTGTCATCAGGAGTAGTATGTGGCCTTTTCATGTCGAACTGGATCGGTTTTCATATTCTTTAATCATCACAACAAAGATCCTGATTCGATTTTTACGCTTCTCTTGTCTTGGCTCTCTTCATACCAAGGCTATTGTAAGGAGAAACAGAACCAGACATAGGTGATCCTTCTTCACGAAGAGTTCCGTTGAGCAATGCTAGCTCGCGCAGCTGCTGTTTCTTGTAAAGATCATGGGTTTCCTCCTATAACAGAAACCACGTAAGTAGATTGTCGATTTAAATTGTTTCAGGTGGTAAAGGGAAAGAGCTGAAACAAACCATAGGGGTAAGAAGATCATCAAGTATTTCACGAGCTTGCATGAGACGTGCATCCACAATTTCAATCGGTAACTCCGCTTCGACTAAGATATGAAGTGGCTCATTTAGGTGCTCGTATCCTGGTTTTCCTCTCATCATTTCCTCCTACAAGAAGAAAAATATTTAAGCGTTTAACAAACAATGGAATAAAGATACAAAAATGAAGTTATATAATAAATACCTTAATTGGATCTTTTATACTGCCTCTTCCTCTTATAAGAACACGGCAATCGGTACTTGCTTCAACTCGCTTCAGGGAGTTTCCCCTAGGACCCAGAAGACGACCAACAAAATTGAACTGTCATATCACAAATTTAGAGTTATATTCCGACCAGATGGTGTATATTTACATGTATAGTTTCAATGTAGAAATGAGAGTTCATACATTTGGGTAACTGTCGACTGGAATATCGACCCTGATGGTTCGCTTGGCAATGAGACCGGACGAACTATCTGGTGAGTGAAGCCAATTTGGTCCCGGGGATGATGGAACAGATCTCTACATATGATCAAATAATAAAATTAGAAGCAAATCAACTTTAAAGCATAAGCATTGACATATAGTTGCAGGAACAAAATATTGAAACTTTTTCCCTGAAACTTCATTCAATGGAAATAGGCACTGTATCAAGGCACTGCAACCTGTATCTGATATATCCTAATAATATGTATAGAGTGATCACATATATATAAAAGAAACTATAGCAATCATAACATCATTTCAATCCTGGTCGTGAGGATCATGGAGTATTTAATTAGTGTTGTTGGTCTAAGGCAAGAACATACAAACATTTCATATATTCAGTGTTAGCTCAGGCTAAGGCTACCTGTCATGATTAATTACGACTAAAAACAGTCAATATTGTTATGTCAGCATAGCTTAAGTCAATAAAACTTCAATTGCAGTAGTATGAATTAGACAAAAAAGAGTTATGTTAATGGTTAGTAGTCATACTTCTGATGGAAACTGTGATGCCCATCCGTTCATGTCAGCTCTTGCATTCTGAAACATCCCTCCAGAAGCCAGAGGGCTATGGTGGTCAAGCCCACTCTGACTTAAAACTGTGGCATTCTCCAACAGTGTGGTTACACGCAAAATTTCTGTTTCAAAAATGTCAATTTCCAAGAGTAAGACGCACCAGTTAGAATTAGTCAACAAATCAGTCAGCATAGTTAATTTAGTTAGCAAAGAATAGATTTTTGCTCTCACTCTAGGTAACTAAAAAGACTGAAGTCAGTATAAAATGGAGAATTAGTAATTTCGAGTTCTAGTTCTAGTTTGTAGTATTCTTAAAGGGAAAAGAAGACAATAGTCTCTTTGTGGATTGTAAGATTAGACAAACTTGGGGGTTAAAAAACCACTTTGCTATATTACTTCTAAATTCTAACCGCTAGCTAATACTTATTAGGTCTCTCTTAGCAGCACCATTTAAGTGTTCATCAACTGTATGAGAGCTTCATAGTTCTGAAGCAAGGAATGAATATTCTGTGAGCAGAAAACACAGATCATAAAATACACAAACATCAACGCTCACCTTGGTTCAGTAGGCGATATGCGTGCGGAAGGACAGGCAAGAATGGAATCAGCTTATGACGCTCAGCAAGTAACTCTGAAAGATACCTGGCAAAACAAACATAGTATCAAAATTAGTAAAGCCTCAAAAGAGTAAAATTACAAGCAGATCCCACTCAAAGAGCTCACCAAAGTTAAGAAACCAATACAAAATATTAAATCCATAAAACTAGATTCAAATTTTCATACTTTTAGTGAAGCAGATTTAGTCAATCAAGAACACAAATGAACAATAACAGAAACTAACACAACCAACAAAGCTACAAGATCCCGTAACACTACAAAATGATGCTATAAATAGGAATTGATACAAATATGAGCTAGAAAAGATGATCGAAACTTAGTTCCAAGATATTGAGATACAATCAAATGCATCAGAATCGAAACATAGATCCTAATGGAATCAGAAGAAAACAAAACACAAAAAAATATCAAAACAAAGATCATCAAAAACTATTTGAGATCTATAAACCAAAATAGTCAAAACAAAAAAATCAACAAACTTCACCAGATACATCAGCTTATTAAAAAACCACCACACAACTAGGAAACAGATTTAAGAAAAAAAAAAAAAACTGAGATTCAATTACTTCTCCTGCTCAACGAAGACAGAAGGCTGTGATCGGAGACCACCGGAGTAATTAGGGGACTGAGGAGCAGAAGGAGGAACCGAAAGAGACGAAGAATACGTCATGAATCTCCCTCCGCCGCCAGCACCAACTCCACCACCACTACCTCCTCCACCACTAAGCGACGACATCATCATCATCTCGAAGACAAGCGTCACAAGGAATCAGAGCAAATCTGCTGGAGGGAGATTAGAAGATGAAGCGGCGGAGTCAGAACCAAAGGTGTTTGTCTCTCAATATCGTCGGTGGATTTATAGAGAGACTGTGTTGTTAGGTACTATGGCAAAAAAATATCATTACCCGTTGCTTAGCTGTGTTTTTTTTCACCTTTTCTTTTTCATATTTACGCAATTTTACCGCTCTAGTTAGTTTCTTTCAGAAGCCTCTTTATCATCTAGAAGGCTTCTAGACCGGCCCGGTTTATTAAATTCGTTTCGGTTACCGGAATAACTAAACGCTGCGTTGCGGGAAGCGAAGCTCCCTCTGATCGAATGGGTACATTTCTCATTCATTCTCTGAGAGCCGCGAAAGGTTGAAGAAGGGTAAGTGGAAGAAGACAATAATGGAGGAGACGATTCCTTTTAAGAGTTTACAAAGCAGAGAATATCAAGGTCACAAGAAGAAGGTTTGATTTTGTTTTTAATCATAATCTTTGTATAAGTTTCTGTGAATACTTAAACCCTAGCTTTTTTTGCTGAATTTGGGGGAATTTTTGGATTTTAAGGTACATTCTGTAGCTTGGAATTCTAACGGAACAAAGCTTGCTTCGGGTTCTGTTGATCAAACTGCTCGCATTTGGAATATCGAACCTCACGGTCATGTAATTTCTCTTTGCCTTTTGAGCTTATGGGAAACTTCTGTGTGGTTGTTATGGCTATAGTTCAGATATAGATTGAGTTTAAATTGGTTATCGTCTTTGTCATTGTTAGTTTGAATTATGTTACGCTTTGTAATTTGATTAGTTATGTTGTGTGTTGGATAATGGCTACAGAGTAAAGCTAAGGACCTTGAATTAAAGGGTCATACTGATAGTGTGGATCAGCTATGTTGGGACCCCAAACATTCAGATCTTGTTGCTACTGCCTCTGGGGATAAAAGTGTTCGTCTCTGGGATGCTCGCAGTAAGTTCTATTCTTTTAATGGATTGGCTTTGTCTCTTAAATTGTAGTAGGCTGGAGCATTCTTTAGTAGTTGCTATGTTTTGTAATGGATTAGCTTTGAATCAATTCACAAATACTTCTTGCCAGATTCCATTATACTTCTTGTTAGTTAGCCCGATTCCATTATAAAGCTATTTAAATGGGTTTTTGATATGTGGCTACTACTGTTTGTTTTACTGTCAATGGAAAGTCGCTGAGATGTGTTTTCTTCGAGTTATACAGGTGGAAAATGCACACAACAGGCAGAACTTAGTGGAGAGAATATAAACATTACCTACAAACCTGATGGAACACATGTTGCTGTTGGTAATAGGGTATTATCTCAATCCTTATGTCTTTACAATTGAATTGTTCCTTTCTCGACTGTTTTATGCGATGCTTGATGGATCACTTTATCTATGGTTGTTCTTTCTTTTCCTGCCCAATGTAGGATGATGAGCTTACCATTCTGGATGTCCGGAAGTTTAAACCTCTGCACAAACGAAAATTCAATTATGAGGTAATGAAAGCTCAGACTCATGTTAATCTCTTTCTATTGCTTTCTTTTTGTTCTTCCCTGTTTCCTATTTCTAGCTCATGCAGTTATATTTCACCTAACTTTCTTGTTCATGTAATGATCCCCGTATATTTGTTAAAGTTAGTAATTTTCTTGTGCTGTATGCAATGTTCTCTTAGCTTGCGCCTTTTTGTAACAGGTAAATGAGATTGCTTGGAACATGCCAGGGGATTTTTTCTTCTTGACTACTGGACTTGGTGAGGATTTTAAATTATGTTTATTCCTGCACTTAATTACCTAGCTCAGATATCCTTGTTGTTGAACTTGAGAAAATGCTCTTATTGGAAAGTTATGCTCTTATGCTCAGATATTCTCTTATGTTCTTCTGATCAGGCACTGTTGAAGTTCTTTCATATCCATCTCTTAAACCACTTGACACTCTCACAGCCCACACAGCCGGGTGTTATTGCATTGCAATTGATCCTAAGGGAAGGTAATATATCGTATCTTACCCTCTGAGACACAGTTAAAATTTATTATTCCGGTTGCATCCAATTTCTTCTCTTTTTACAGATATTTTGCTGTAGGGAGTGCGGATTCTTTAGTCAGCCTTTGGGATATCTCAGACATGCTTTGTTTAAGAACATTTACCAAGCTTGAGTGAGTCCCAACTTGAAATTTACATAATAAAAAAGGCTTATTCTGTTACATGTTAATAAGTTACTCTCCTCGCAGGTGGCCTGTCAGGACAATAAGCTTCAACTATTCGGGAGAGTATATTGCTTCAGCCAGTGAAGATTTATTCATAGATATAGTAAGTTATAGACCAGACTTAAACGTTGCTAATTACTATGTACTTTCTCAATATGAGATTAGTGCCTCATATCTGACCACTAACTACCAAACAGGCCAATGTCCAAACCGGGCGGACAGTGCATCAGATTCCATGTCGTGCTGCCATGAATAGCGTTGAGTGGAATCCCAAATACAATTTATTAGCATATGCAGGTGATGACAAGAATCCCAAGTATAATACTGATGAAGGTACTTCTTTACTTAGCAACTACATACTCATACAACTTTGTTGCAGAAAATGAACAATAACAACAAGCTCGTTGGATCTCTTTGCAGGTGTATTCAGGATATTTGGTTTTGACAGCACATAGGAACAGAACACCCCATCTTGAAAGCAACTCTGCTTGACCGTTGTTGTATCGGAAAATTGTTTTTATGCTTTTGTGTGTACTTCTAATGTCTTGACTAATTCAAGTTGGAATTCTACAGTACCAAAATAATACACAGAAAGTTTGCAGTTATGATTTTATATAAATCTGGCATTTTCTTCACTGCAAAAATGGGCAATTTACAAAATGTGTTCTTTTATTGTAAACGAAGAAATGAAAATAATAATCAAGATCAGAATTCTGATTCCGAGGTACATATATTCTCTATCTGTGTTAAGAGTATTACTGCTAAATGTTATAGATTGTTCACCCAGGGGATATTCTCAAAGTCTTGACAGCAACTCTCTCAAAGCTGATACAGAGGCCATTGACAAGCTTTTGCTAAGATCGGACCAAAAGCTTTATCCCCACGATGGAGGTTGAATAAAGAATGCAGAATCCTGAGAAAAATAAAATACATTTATCACTGAGAGACCAGATTTGGATTCAAAGAACAACGAGCACAATATATGCTTACCGAAAAAAACAACAATCATTTGAGAGTTTGGCTGATCTGTCAAATTCAGCAGAGGATGAACTTTGAGACGGGGAAGAACAATCCTGAAAAGCAAAGAAGAACAATAGTGATCAAATACTGAGAGAACCAAGTAACAGGTTTCCATTTGATCTCAACGCTCGAACTCTTCATCCTCTTCCCACTCATTGGCTCCTTGGACAGATCAAAGCTCGACCCTTTCATCCTCAGCTCCAAAACACACCGTGTAAGAGTTCTGTTATCGTTCCTCTCCCTATGAACTCCTCTGTAAACTTTCCAGAACACAAACAGCTTAGCCTGAACAAGAAACACCAAAACCAGCGAAGTGGCTAGTGACACTGCAGAAGGTATCCACCATTTCTTGCAAACGGCATTTCTTTTCATCACGTCATCATCATCAGAACAAGAAGCAGAGTAGACCAGCGTGAAGAAGAACCCGTGGAATACGAGAAAGAAACAACAGAGCTGAAAGATCTCTCTTTTGATCGACTCTAGCCTTGATTCCTTAAGAATGACACGACGACAGAACAAATCTTCTTCTCTCTGCCATAGCTTCAAAAGCAACAAATGCCCTGGACTCTCTGAGATCTCAGACAACGGATGCTGCTGAATCACCTTGAGTATTCCCATTCCAGGATTCGAAACCGTTACCAACTGTTGTTGCTGTCTCTCTTTATGCTCTTCATCTACGGGAATCTCCACTACATGAGAATCTTTAGTTCCGGCCATAGAGTAAAAAAGATTGATACTTTGTGAAGAAACAGAGATCTGAAATGGAAAGTAAGAAGAAGACTGAGAAATGACTAAATTTGCAGAGAAGACTTGAGACTTCGTTGTTTTTTTTTTAGTAAGATTTCCTTTTCTATGAAATTAAGATTTCAGGTCTTTAAATTGTTGTGTTTTTTAACGGCTATATGGATACAACGGTCGGATTGTCTTCTTTTTACGTTATGTTGTTTTTGTTACTGCTGCGATTATGTAGTAGGCGAGACCTTTTCTCACTCTAACGGCTATATTTTCTTTTCCAACGTAAGTGGCCAATATTTGGGCCATTAATGGGCTTAACAATTTGCAATGTGCAACATAGTTTAATTAGGCCCAAAATCAATTATTTAGTTCTAGCTTTTGGTCTGTGATTCCTTTGTCCCACCAACAAATTTCAAAAGTGATATTGGCAAATATTGTAAATTTTTAAGAGAAATATTGGAAATTTTAGTATTCCTTAAGTGATAAAAAATAATAAAAGCTCTTTATTTACATTTTTTAAATTATTAAATGCTTTACAAAGCAAAAACTTATTAATATATGAAAGGGAAAAAAAAAACAGACCTAATATAATCAATCATATGACCAAATGTTTAACTACCAATGTGATGCAAAATAACGAAAACCCAAACAAGAAATATTTTTAAAGAAAAAACAACTTTGAACGAAATAAGAATCAAACCATATGATTGATGATATCATCAGCTTGTAAATCCCACAAGGCGTTATCCACATTAAACACATGTTGATGTTGTTGTTGATGATGATGGCTCCTCATCATCATCATTCCATCTCCTCGTCCTCCTTGAGATCCAATCTCTTCTTGATCAACCACTTCTCCCTTCAGCTTCCTTCTTTCCTCTTCTTCTTCCGCCGCCGCGGTTTCAGCCACGGCCGTGCGTATTCCTCCGTGACCTCTCCATGCCGCTATCGCAGGAGAAGCTGATCCATCATTCCTTTCCTCATTCCCAAACGACGACGAAGACGATCCGTATGAGAATCCATTTCCCATGTCCCATAGCTTCATTATTCCATTCCCTGCCTCTAAACTATCCATTTTTATTTTACCAGCTTCGTTATCAGTAGCAATCTGGTTATAGTTATTTGGATTGGGGTTAGGGTTTGGGAAGTTGATTTGGTTTAGGTCAACCCGTTTCTTGGTGAGCAAGTGAAGCATCTCATCTTTGAAACAACCGAGAGCAGCTTCAGCTAGGTGAGAAACTTGAGGGGGGTTGAGTGTAGTGGTGATCTCTGCCATTAGATGCGAGAAAGGCTTGTGTGTCACTGGATCTATTCCCATTCCCGACAACTTCTTCTTCAGCTTTGTGTTCCAATAGTTTTTCACATCGTTGTCTGTCCGACCAGGAAGCTGCGCCGCTATTAACGACCACCTGATCCATACCCGGCAAAAGGAAATTAACAAGGTTTATGTCTTATTTTCTTGTTTCCTAATTAATAATGTGTTGTTGCTCAAAAAAATATTTAAATTTATTTTAAGAAAATTAAAACTTGTCATATAAAACAAGGTCTTATACTCTTATTCAGTTTCTTGATTCTCAAGAAACATATCGAGAAACTCATGAACTATAAGTGAGCATCAAGGTTCAAAACTTATGAGTCTATATGTAATCTTATACACCAAACTGAAATCATTCCAAGAAAAGTCAAAAATATGCAAAAATATTGAAACCATAGCTAATAAGATTTAGTCATACCGGTTACCAAGAACAGAGTGAAACTTGACAATGATATGTTCTTCAGCTTCGGAGAACTGGCCATGTTTCAAATCAGGACGCAAATAGTTCGTCCATCTTAGCCTACAACTCTTCCCACATCTTTGCAACCCTATTTATTATAAACCAATTTTATTCAATCCATTATAGTACATTACAATGATCACATATAGGAAGATTAATACTTGATTAAAAAAAGAGAAAGAATAGAGAAACAAAATTACCAGCATTCTTAGGGATGAGACGCCAATTACGAGTACCATGTTGAGCAATATAAGAAGCCAATTTGTTATCTTCTTCAGGAGTCCATTGTCCTCTCTTCACATTCTCCTTTTCACAACATGGAATCCGACCCATTTCCTCTTCCTCTCTTTCTAGTTTTTTAAAAATCTCTCGATCCGATTTGATTACTCTTTTAGTTAATTCACCAACACGGAAAAAGAAAACTTGGTTAAGAAAAAGATAAAAAGAAAAGCTTATAAATCAAAGATTGCCCAAAAGATTTAAAACTGCCAAACTTTTGATTTCTTTAAACTTTCTTGTAATTAAAAGGCTTATCAATTGGAAAAGAAGAAAGGAAATATATGCATATATATATAATACGTAAGTATGATTATAAAACAAAAATGAAAACATAAGTAGAAAAATGAAAAATAGCATCAAATGTGCATGAAGTGATTAAAACTATTTAAAGAATTCAACGCTACAGAGCGTGTGATTCCCTTTGGCCGGTAGGTCACCCACTCAACGCCTGGTCAACTCCTTTTTACATCTCTTTTCATTATCAGAATATTCATTCATTCACCCATCAAGAAAAATACATTCTCGATATATATAACTTACACTTTTAATTTGTATATAATCTATGTAATCTATATAACCAACCTTTTCAAAAATTTGGTGATGTGTAGAACGATTTGTATAACAAACTAGGGTTTAAAATCATGACTTGAAATTGTATTATTTTTTAACATAATTGGGATCATATTGTAGTTCTGAGGAATCGGTCTTTTCAGGGAATATGTGTACGTGAAGTACGGAGAATATCGCGAGAGGGCGTTCGTGTGCATTAATGAGCCGTTCGTGTAAAAGCACAGAATCTTGTGTACAATTATACCTTTTTCTATGAGACACAAGTAATATAGCACAGAGGCTTTTTCCAAGTTTGAACTACTAATTAAGAAGAGTAAGCTCGAGAAGAAGAAGAATTCCCATCCTCTCACTTCTCTCGTAAGTAACGACTTCGACCATAACCTAACTCTCTCACCACCGACTCGACCATCCTCTCAGCAACTCCGGTTCCAACACCAATCTCTTTCGCACAACAAACCAGACCGGCTATCCCCACCAACCACAAGGCTGCAGCCACCCCAACACCAACCACTGCTGCCACAATAATTGCCACCGTCACAGCCAAAACCGGAGCAAATATCAGCATCAGTGGAGAAACAATCAGAAACAGAGTCACCGTCGCCACGAAGCTGAAACTCATCAGACCAAAAAGCGGCCCGACCACTGTCACGGCTGCTACAGTTGCTTCCACAACCGAAGAAACAGTCGGCCTCATTCCATCGGTTATGGCTATGTTTCTTCCTTCAGGATTCTCCATGCTACTAATGTAAAGTTAAAACTGAGAATTTTGTACCATGGTCCATGGCTATATAGAAAGGAAGATTGACACGTGGATGCTATAAGCTACAGTTTTACGACACGTGTATAGTCTTGTTAACCCAAAACGCCAAAAACTGTCTCTAAACATTATCCGCAAGGCTTACTACGGATTTGAACTAACAGACACTGAACTAAAATATAGCATTGAACCGAATTGGTAATAGAAAATTACTAAGCGTCTTAATCCGACAAAGAAACATTATTAATCAACTCATAGAATTCTGGGATCCATATGAAAGTTTTGTTAATTGTTTTCGTACATTATTTTTCGAACCATGACTGTAATACAACATCGTTGACGCAGGTTCGATGAGAAAGCTTGCTAGTATATAATAGTATGAGCCAAAGAATCGTTTTTTAGTAAATGATGAGAAAGGAAAGCTTTTGGTGAAGAGGGCTTAGCTGAAATTTGATTTAGCAACTTGTGGAAGAGATTTGAGGAGAGAAGGTGATGGTCTCCGAAGAGTGTGATTGAGAAGTAGCATCAAAGTGAGAAGTGTTAAAGCTCCTGCTTGGTGTGCACTTCCTAGGGAAACCGGAACATAACTCAGAAGCGTTGATACACCTAACGTCACCTGCAAATAACAGAAAGATATATAAACCTCAGTGTTTTGATTTTAAGTTTGCATGAAATTTTATGTCGATTGATTAACCTGAACAGCCGTCATCCCGACAGTGCTTCCAATCAACGCTTTAACAGCTGGATGAATGTCTAGCTTCCTTGTGAACCACCACATTGTTCCAATTGCGATTAGACTTGTGGTTGCCAGAAGGCGATGATCAAGCTATAATGCAAGAAAAGTTTCAGCCTTTTTTTGAGATTCTTGAAGTAAAATGAGAGCTCTGTTTCAATTGTGTACCTGAACAGTTGCTGTGTTCTCGAAAAAGTTGCGCATAAGTGGCTTCATCTCAAATATATTATCTGGGATCCATGTATCGCCCATTTTGGGGAATGTATTGAATGCACGACCCTACAGTTCACAAGCAGAGAGATCAAAATGCTCAGATTCCTTTTGTAACTTAAAAAAATAGAAGCTTATACCAAATTTTTAGTTTGCTTACAGCATCATTTCCAGCTACAAAGGCCCCTGAAATCGCAGTGATACCAACAATCAAGCTTACTGGTAATGCAAGCTTCTTGACTTTAGCTGCTCCACGGACCCAAGCCAGTGACTCAGCTGGAGGTTCAGGCATAACAACAGAGAGAGCGGTCCAGAAAAGTCCACAATAAATGGCGAACGCTGAGGTAAGATGAGCTGCAAGACGGTATGGGCTCACCCTTGGTTGAGAATATTCAGACGGCGGCTCCTACAGGACAAAACTGATTACTGGTTACACAATGTTCTGGTATTGACATCCAATAAGATCATCTTTGATGCCCTAAATGCTTACCTCTAAACCACTTTTAACCATCCACCAACCAATGAAACCTTGTCCAGCACCAAGTGCAAATAAACCAGAGAGCTGAACTCCAAGACGTAGAGTAATATACCCTTTACGCAGAAAAAACGAAAACGGCAAAGCAAACATGATTCCCAATCCTCTTCCCCACATTCGATGGGCATACTCCATCCAATATATGAACTTAAAATCTTCAAGATTCATCCCTTTGTTCACACTGTAAAAGACCAAATACCAAAACACAAACAGCATTTTCAACATGAAAAGTTCGTCCAAAAACATGTAAAGCAAGCAACAGCTTAGCTACCAAAATAGCAACACTGACCGCTTATATTCAGGCGACTGCTTATATTTCTTAAACTCCTTAGCCCAAGCTTCATCTGAAAGAGGAGGGAATTCACCGGTGAATTTCCAATCAGTCATCGATAAACCAGATCGAGTCAATCTTGTTACTCCGCCGAGTACCACCATGCTGAAAACCCAAGCAGCTGATCCGAACAACCATATACCAACCCATTTCCGAGCGTGAGGTCCTCCAGTGACAAGAAGCTTCAAACCCTCTTTACTCCCTGAACTAATCGACGCTACAGTTGACATATTCCTAAACAATGAAGCATTTTGACCCTAAAAAAAAACAGAATCTCGATCATTCCCAATCTCAGAACCATCTAATAAGGACCAAAATCTCAAATTTAACATAAATCCTGATCAAAAGTATCAACCTTTAAGACAAAAAATTTCCACACTATCTGAGAATCGAATTAAGAACAAGCATTAGAAATGAATGTAGAAACTACCTTGAGCAGAGATCGTAAGCCATATAAGGAGTTTCCAGCTAAAGTAGAAGACGAGGCAGAGGTTACAGTAGCAGCTGTGATTTTAGAGGTGAAAGCTCGATGATGAGATGTAGTGGTGAATCCTCGAACAATTCCATTAAACGCTTCCTTGTTCCTCTTCAGAGCCGATCCCACTGCCCGAAACATCTCTTTCTCCTCTCTAGGGTTTAAGCAAGGTTTTTGCCTTCAGGCGTCAAAAGGAAGACGGCAAATCAAATCTGCTTCTGCAATTTCGACCCGACCCGGATTTGTTCCGGGTTCGGGTTTTGTATTGGTGGCTATTCGGTAGACACTAACAATGTTCGGTTTAAAAAACGACACGGTGTTTAGAACAAAAACGGGTAACAACATACATCCATATATGGCTTTTTCCAAAAAAAATTAGTGAAAAGTTTAATTATTATACACACCAGTTTTAGCAGGCAAATTATGATTTTTTTTTTTTTTTTTATGAACTGCAAACCTACGTAAAATATATCGGTCAGGCTTTAATTAAGTATAATTCATTGAAATTGCATTCACTATTTTGTTCATTATATAACATGAGATGATTTGTACATTGTCTTCAGCCTTTTTCTAAGAAAAAATGAAAATTAAAGGATTGTACATTGTGTTTTTAAAATCATTAAGGGGGTGTTATTGGATGGAGAATTTTAAGGGATTTTAATTATCGGTGGATTTTAAAGTTCAATAGCATTTAAATACAATTAAGATGGATTTGGTGTGAAAGAGATGAAATCCTTTGAAAATTGTTAGGATTGTGTTGGTACGTGTTTTAGATGTAAAATACATTAAAATCTTAAATGAAACAAAATCCATTGAAAATTGAATAACGCTTGTTTTTAAGTACTTTAAAATACATCCAACAAATGTTAAATCCAATAACAACAGATTTTATTGTGGTTTTTAAAATACATCATTAAATAACGCTAGATTTTGAAATACATCCAAATCAATTAAAATACAAGGTTGAATAACACCCCTAAGTCGCACTCAAACTCAGACATGACCATGTATGCACATAATATATATCGCACGATCAGTCACCAAATCTACTACTATAGTCTATCTAGATGCATGTTGAAAGAAAATAAATCTTACTTTAGAACTCAAACAAAAATCGCTTCTTTCGTATAAACGTAATGTTGAGAGCTACGTAAACTTGGCTATTCATTTCGTGCAAGAGGCACTGAGTGATATAAACTAATGTCATTAACAAACATGTAAATCAATATATCAATTGCAAAACCTAGCTAGCTATATATCAGTTTTTTCTTATGTTATTTTTTTTCATTTTGTTTGTAGCTTAAAAGAAAATTTATTTTTTTCCTTCTTAGCACCAACATTTTTTAGTTGGAATTTTTTTTTTTTTCAGACAATCTTGTGTATTCAGTTCAACTTTGTAAATACATCGAGTGAGCGCAAAAAGGATCGAGGGTTATTCCCAACAAAGCATGTGAGTGAACGGAATCTAACATTTTCGAATTTTGATGACTGTTTACAATTCAACGGTATATGATATAAAATTCGACTATGTCATTATTCTTTTCTGTTTTCGACTACCCAAGTAGATCATATATATAGTTCTCTCTTATATATTATTATAATTATATGATGCATTTTCGTGGCGACTTAATAAAGTTATGAGACATGCCTAAATTACCAACCCTAACCATACGTTATTCTCGTACCATCGTGTAGCATTTATAATGAATGATATATACTATTACACGACTACACGTAGAAAGACCAAATCGTAGTATATTTTCCTTTAGATTCCATTCATGCATGACTAGCACAATCATACGCATATGCACACATCACTAATGAAAATTTTATCACGAGAGCAATGCTAATTTTTGTTTTAAGTTATTAAATTTGTGTTTTTTTCTTCAGTTTAATCATAACATTTTAATGTAAAACCTTTTACACATTTTTTGTTAAACTCTAATTATATTACATTTATATCCAAACCCTAATTTCGAAATTCATTTTACACGAATCTTTTCCACATTAATTAGACTTGTAACCAAACCCTAATGTCGTAAACATTTACATGTTTTTTATATATTGAAACAAGTTCACATTTTCTGTCGAAAAATGGAATATCATTCATTTTGAAATAAAAACAATAAATCTAAAACATAAATTATAATGACATAGAAAATATTTTTAACATATATATATATATATATATATATATATATATATATATGAATCGAATCAAATAAATAAAATAACAAAATTTAGCCAAGAATGGACCCCCACACACTGCGTCAATAAATAACGACCCTTTGTGAGGGTTAAGGCAAACACAACACAAGCTTTTTGCAAGTCTTGAAAACTAAAAACTCTATATTCTCTCTTCATAGTGTCGACATGGCTTTCGAAAACAACCTAGTTGTGAAGCAAATCATCGACTTATACAACCAAATCTCAAACCTCGAGAGCTTAAAACCATCCAAGAATGTCGACACTTTGTTCGGGCAACTCGTGTCCACGTGCTTACCCACGGACACAAACATCGATGTCACAGAGATACACGATGAAAAAGTCAAAGACGTGAGATCTCATCTCATCAAGCTTTGTGGTGAAGCCGAAGGTTATTTAGAGCAACACTTCTCAACGATCTTAGGCTCTTTTGAAGACAACCCACTTAACCATTTACACATCTTTCCCTACTACAACAACTATCTCAAACTAGGCAAACTCGAATTCGATCTCCTAGCTCAACACACAACAAATGTCCCGACCAAAGTCGCCTTTATCGGTTCCGGTCCGATGCCACTTACATCCATCGTCTTGGCCAAGTTCCACCTCCCCAACACAACGTTCCACAACTTTGACATCGACTCACAGGCCAACAAACTTGCTTCAAGCCTTGTTTCTCGCGATCCTGACCTCTCGAAACGCATGATCTTCCACACAACTGATGTGTTAAACGCTACGGAAGGACTAGACCAATACGATGTGGTTTTCTTGGCAGCTCTTGTTGGGATGGATAAAGAGTCAAAGGTCAAAGCTATTGAGCATTTGGAGAAGCATATGGCTCCTGGAGCTGTGTTGATGCTAAGGAGTGCTCATGGTCTTAGGGCTTTCTTGTATCCAATCGTTGACTCTTCTGATCTTAAAGGATTTGAGGTGTTGACCATTTATCATCCGTCCGATGACGTGGTTAACTCGGTGGTCATCGCACGTAAGCTCGGTGGTTCGAATGGAGCTAGAGGCAGCCAGATTGGACGGTGTGTGGTTATGCCTTGTAATTGCTCTAAGGTCCACGCGATTATGAACAATCTTGGTAAGAAGAAGAATTTGATCGAGGAGTTTAGTGCCATCGAGTAAACAAGTAATAATTATATAATACATCTATTTTCTTAAAATTATTTGTTTTTATGTTTTGCTATTTTCAATTTTATGCCTTGTGTGAGGAGTGTGGTATGTTTGCTAAGTATTATCATTTTGTGAATTTTGTAAGTTCTTTGATCTTCATATCAGTGTGAACCTTTGTATGTTATTTTTATATGTTATCATCGAATAAAAAATAAACTTGAGAATCTACATATTGATCAATCATGAAGGTTTTGTTTGTGATTTATATCTTTGGTGCCTGAAACGATTTTTTTTTCCCTATTTGTAGAACTTTACATTTGCATGCAATCTCAAACATTTCCTTTCTCCTTTTTTTTTTGTAATTTTAAAACAAAAATCTAGATAGTAACAAACGAAAAGAGCTCTAAGTATTATTCAGATTAATAAAAGAACTGTTTAGTGGAAATGAAAGTAGAAGAGTTCCCAACAGGGAAGCTAGAGTCACTGTAACCTCCACTTCCTCTCTTGTTGGAGTAACCAGGATAATGACTCAAACAAAACTCCATCTCACGGATCAAATCTAAACCTTCTTTCTCGCCGAGAGTCTTTAGCTTCCACTCGCTAAATGGATACTCTGTCTTATGAATCACATGAATCTCTCCTCCCTTGTCTTCATCTTTCACCAACACTCTTGCACTCTTCATAAACCCTCTTACAAGCTCTTGATGCCTCCTAAATCACACAATTTATTCAAAAAATGAAAATAAGTAATGAAAAAACAAAAATTGGTTTGACTATGACCAATAATAAATATCGTTTTATACTTCAGTTTCATAAAATCATAGCCTAAAATGTAGCCACAATAAATAGAGTTAGACCATTTTAATTCAAAGAAAGAATTTTTTTTAAAAAAATAGAAATAGTATATGTAGGGGAGAGATGCAAGGAGTATATATATAACATACATGATGGTTTTAATTTCGTGCTCGTGACCATAGTCGAACCCTGCGTGAGGAAAATTGAAGATGACTCTGTCATATACAGCGGAGCCACCAAGGGTAGGCTTTGTGGCCATTGAGTGAACGTTGACTCCATAGACCACGCTGCATCCAAGTTTCTCCAACTCTTCTACGTTCGCCTTCCCATTCTTGAACTTACGCTCTAGCTCCCCTACAACATTCCTTACGTTATTCCAGCATTAATCCACAATCATCATAATATATTACCTAATCGATCTTCACCTTTTTTTCAAACTTTAAATAAACTTGATATTGCAACTTGCAAGTAAATATATATATATACCAACACTTAAGAGATATAACCGCTTATAAATAAGGGCGTCTATGTAGTCATGCAGTAACGAAAGCTATAATAATATTAGATTTTGATTTTACCTTGAGTATCAAGAGTTGTTGCGGTGAGGTTAGATGCAGAGCCAAAAGCTCTTCCTAGAGACAGAGAAAAGGAGAAGTCACCTTCGCCTACCAAAAGTATTTTTTGTTTGTTATTGTAATGTTTTAACCTTTTAGTTTCTTGAACTTCCATTTCATCTCTAGACAGATCTGTATGAGTTTCCCTCTCACACCAAGATTATAAGTATGTGTATATATGCATATAAACAGGTATACATATGTATTTATGGATGCATAGGTGGTCAAAGAGGATTTAAATTTTTAATTTTGTGTGTTTACTAGCTCTTCGAACTTTGTGGGTATTTATTTATTGACTCGAAAGCGTTTAATATTTTGGTCATGCATCCTTTTGAAGTGAAGAGTCGAAACCTTATATATTCCTTTCCGAGACAATTTATACAATTTTCTCTTTTACGTGTATAATAAAGGAGATGTTTATATCCGAATTAACTTCATATTTTCATTGATGGAAATTAAAAAAAGCCCACGTAAGTATATCCTTCGATAATAATGCAATAATTTATGTATTCTCTTATTTAAAAAAAATTAATGTTCAGCATTTTCCGAATAATAGCTGGGATTGCAACTTTGATCCATAGACCATCAACTCCATTCTGTTCGAGTCATCACCTGTCTATTTTAACGGCGACATCATGTTACAGAACAATTTCACAAACCCAAACCACAAACTTAACGTTAGGTTTGAAAACCTCGTCGTAGAGTTATGGTTTGGCAACGAAATGATTGCAACACAAGGTGTTCTGCCGTTTTCGCTAAGAAACGGCAAGACCCGGCTGGAACTAATCCGCCTAATATCGAATTCAGTCGTGCTGCCCAAAATTCACATGGCCGAACTCAGGAGACAAGTCACAATGAATTTGATAGAATTTGAAGTCATAAGTAAAATTAGATTGAAGGCGGTTTTATGGAAATTTCCTTATTTCTATTGGTTGCTCGAGAATTAATTACAAGTAAATTTTGAGCAAATTATTAGAGTAGAGTAAGGAAAACATAAGTAAATTTTGAGCATATTTTTTTCATGCTCAAAATCATATAAATTAATAAATTAATATTAGATAAACTACTGTTAATTACAAACTATATTGGAATACAGTAAATCTTGAAGACAAATTAAATCAAGAAGATTTATCAAATCATTTGATGTCAGATTTCTTAAAAGGCCTAAATATCCACTTTATAGGAAGCGAGAAACATGAAACCATTGTTCAAAGGACAAAAAGAAGATTCAAACATGCACTTTATAAAAAAAATTGATGTTCCTTAGTGATGAAGTGTTTAGCGAGCCACATCTAACGACACTATGAGTCTCACACGCATGTGAGAGGTTTTGGAGTCTCACATGCATTATCAAAAAGAAAAGATGAATGAATAAAAAATCTTGGTTCAAAACCACATCTGCATTCTAGTTACGTAGCTTAAATGATGTATTAATCTAAAGCTAGCTATATCGTAAAAAATCCAAAGTATTTGTATATGCATCTGTCTAGCTGGACTCGGCTGAAACTCGCAAAATCTCCGGCACTGGACTTTCAGGTAAACGTAGTAGAACTAGGACAGCATGAGTGTCGTACGTACACAGCACTACTTTCCTCATCTACAAGAAAAAAGCCCTACTGTGAAAACTGAAACGCATCCCTCAAGTAAAAGAGACATTGAGATTTGAGCGTTAACTAAACTACACTTTTAGTTAACCGTTCTGGTTATCGCAGTTCGCAAAATGGTTTATTCAATCGTATCGATAAACGGGCTCATTTTCCCATAACAGGCTCGCTAGGCCTGCGAATTTTAAAACCCACTATATCATACACGTTACCCGGTTAAATTCATATTAAAGGTAATATTTTGGAGAAACTCATGCATGAATTGAGGCACATGACTTGAAAATCATGAGATGATGTAAATGTTACTATTTGCACAGTACATGGAATCGAAAACATGAAGTGGTTCCCGTACATTCCGCATAATCATCATCATTATAGAATAGGTAAAGAAGAACGTATCTTTCCTATGTAACTCCAAACATTCGCATTTTTATTCCTTGAATTCTCCAAATTAATTTACCTAAAACAAAACCTTAAAGTTTTATATACATAAAAATCGACTCAGCATGTTCTATCGAAGACGATTTTTCTCTAAACCGAAATCATTGTTGAAAGGACAAAAAGAAGATTCCAACATGCACTTTATAGAGAAAAGATGTTCCTTAGTGATGAAGTGTTTAGATAGCCACACCTAACGACACTCAGTGAGATTACGAGTAATAATAATAAAAAAAATTGTTGATATAAAACCTACCGAAACTCAAAAACATAAATTAAAATAAGCAAATTCGTATTCTAATTACGTACCTTAAATGAATTATTAATCTAAGACTATAAACTTTCATAATGAACCCGTACAGCCAATAAAAAACATTATGTTACTACAATATTTTTAAAAAATATATATACGTCGTACAGTTTTTCATGTTTTGTAGTACACACAATAATCAAAGTTCAAAAATTCCACGCAAACAAGTTTCCCATATATTATTTCTCCACTCTATTGCTTTATTTTAAAAAAAACAAAACATTCTATAAATTGAAAATGCATGTAATTTTCTACATAAAATGCATGGTGCAAATCTACAAAACAAAACCCATCCCATTAAGCAAAAGCTCCCTCCTTTTCTCCCACTCACAATCTCTCTTTATAAAAAAAAGTTTTAAAAATTAATAATAACTTTTTTGTTTTTTTTCCTATTTAACCAAACACCATTACACATTCCCAAAATTTCCTTTCATTCAACACACATCTTAGTTTCTAGAGTTTCCTTCTTCCTCTTCTACTTCTTCAACTCTCAAGCCATAAAAAAAAAAACACCATGTCAAATCTTCATCCACCGCAAGCGTCCGAAACCCCTCCATGGGAAACGCCATCTTCAAAATGGTATACTCCAATAAACACACCATGGAGAACAACTCCAAGAAGAACAAATTCTACTCCGAGTACAACACCAATAGCTCCCACGGAAGTGATTGAGTCTAAATCACCTTTATCTCACCAGAGCAGCCCTGCAACGCCTAAGCTAGACGGTATGGAATCACAGCCTTTACACGAGACAATGGTTCTCTTGCGGCTTAGAACAACCCGGACCAGTCCATGGATTTGGTGTGGTGCGGCTTTGTGTTTTATCTTCAGCATACTTCTTATAGTCTTTGGGATTGCTACTTTGATTCTTTTTCTTGCCGTCAGACCAAGAACCCCTGTTTTCGACATCTCTAATGCAAAGCTCAACACAATCCTCTTCGAGTCACCTGTTTATTTCAACGGTGATATGTTGTTGCAGTTGAATTTCACCAACCGAAACAAGAAACTGAATGTGAGGTTTGAGAATCTTCTCATAGAGCTCTGGTTTGCCAACATAAAGATTGCCACACAAGGTGTCTTGCCGTTTTCGCTAAGAAACGGCAAGACTAGGCTAGAACCAATCCGTTTGATTTCAGCTTCGATCTTCTTGCCTGTAAACCATATAATTGAGCTCAGAAGACAAGTGACAAGCAATAGGATAGATTATGAAATCAGAAGTAAATTCAAAGTGAAAGCTGTTCTTGGGTTTGTTCCTTATTCGTATTGGCTGCACGGGAGTTGTCAGCTACAACTGACGAGTCCACCAGGAGGTGGCTTGGTTTCTCGGAACTGCACTACAAAAAGATGGTGAAAAACAGAGGTCATCTTCAAATTCTCTAGCTTTTATTGTGTTCTTTGAACACAAATCTTTCGTCTGCTCACTCACAAGATGTAAAAACGAATCAAGATTCAGTAGACTCCATCTATGCAAGAATGAGATAAGAGTCTGTTCTATATTGTTAAGACAGATCTAGTAAAGTTGATGTACTGTATATAGTTGAGTCAAAGAGATAATTCTTATAAGGCCACAGATTCTATCCCTTATTCAAATCATGCTTCAAGACTACTAAAATCAGATCCATATTTGATTCACAAGACACAATCTTAAAGAACAAGGATCTGACCGTAGATTCCTATGTTAGTTCCTTTTAGTGTTTAAGTAATCAAAAGAATTATATTCAAAGTAAAAAGAAGCAAAACACAGCATGAAGTTCTTCTTTAATTCAATGCCTTAACTTAATTCAAAACTTTTTCTTCAGGGGTTAGCTACAAAAGTGGCAGAGAACAAAAAAAGTTAAGCTAGAACTGATTGGCTTAAAGTTCAACTAGCTTACGCAGGACAATCATGTAAACTTACTTGTATAAGAATAATAGCCTTAAATCTCAGCAAAATCTTTAAACAAAAACTAAAGTAAAAGGACCTAAAAACTAAAGGTAGGCTATGACAGGGATCAAAATAGACTCTTTCACAATTTTAACACTTGCGTCAATAAGAAGATAGTAACCAAATTCTAAATCTCTATGCATTTCATTCTATCAGCTTGAATTAGCCTGTTTAAAAAGGTATCATTAGTAGTTTAGTACTGTACTAACTATACTATCTAGACGAATGAGAAAAGAAACATGACCTAGTTTGGGCTACAAGAAATTAAAACTCTGTTTTCCTAGTTCTTGCAGAAACTTAGTTCTGTTCCCGAATCCTAATATACACCGGTATCGCCTTATCGGTGCTTGAGTTGGAATCAACAACACTTTTTTCATCATTAGAGCTATCTTTAAGCACCTCAGCTTCAAGGTCTTCTGCTTCATCATCTTTTAACATCTTAAGGAACCCACTGTTTCGAGATGGGTTCACACTCTGCTGCAAACCGAGAAATCCAGTGCAGCTCGCAAAATTTCCGGTAGGAGAGAGGACTTCCAAGTAAAGGTAGAAGTAGGAGAGCAGTTTCGTACACAGCATTACGTTCTATATCTAGAAACGGCCCTAACCCCATTAGAACAAAACGCATCCCTCAAGTTACGAATCGGTTAAGTAAACTACACTTAGGTTAAACCGATTCTGGTTATCGTGAATGGTTTACTCGAATCTGTATATTTTGTCACTAATTCAATTTGATACAAATCTTCTGTGGCTAAAACAAGTGGGCACATAGGAGGCCCGTTAGGCCCGCTAATTCATATCCTATCAAAAGGAAATGGTTTGGAGAAACACATACATGCATGGGGGCACATGACTTGGAAAAATCATGAGGTGATGTAATGTTGTTAGTATGTGCACAATACATGGAATCGAAAACATGAAGTGGTTCCCGTACATTCCGCATAATCATCATTATAAAGCTTTTGGTTGCTTCTGTCTGTTGCGAGACTTCACATATAAACCTTTCTTTTCATTTACTCTTTTTTTTTTTCTTCCCTAATAAAATATCTTACGGAACTGTCCAAACTAAACAAACAGTTCCATTAGGTTTCCTAATGCTTGTTTCGTATTATTCTTTCGTCATATTTGTTCAAAATACGAAAAATATATCATTTTAATATATATCACGAGTAATGGATATATACAAACTAATTAAACTAACTACAGTATTTGCATTAGAGTGGCCGCGGATTGACGAAACTCAAAATGCAGACTAATATGAGAATCTTTTGTGGAAGTCACTGTCAAAATGTCTTTGAACTTAAAAGAGATTAAAAATAGACAAAACATATACACAACAAAGAGAAGCAACAACACACAAAACTGAAAACTGTCGTTCTTATACATTTGGTTTTAGGCATGTGCTCGCACTTCTTTAGTATCGTGTACACACACGAAACTTTTATATTTGTTAGCTTAAAAAAGGTTATTTGAGCCTCGAGAGTCATCTTCAATAGCTTATATTATATACAAACCAAAAATATAAATATTACATATTTAGGTGATAGAAAAAAATTGGTGATCGTTGGCTGGAAAGTCATTGTTATTCAGACAACACATGAGCATGTGATGGGGTGGCGCGTGGGTCCACGTGATCCCACGTCGAAAGCCTCTCTTCTCAATTTCACAAAACTTAGCAAACATCCAAAACATTTCTAAACAATTAGATAATTGGAAATATTAAAAACATTTTGAATAAAGAAGAACGAATCTTTCCTATGTGATATAACTCCAAACACTCCCGGCTTTTTATTATTACCTCCATTTTTATTCCTTGAATGCTCCAAAATTTACACACACAAAATATATATATATACCTTAACTTTCTTTTATATAAATAAAATAACTCAACATGTTCTATTTTTGGATAATATAATTGTGAATCGATGTTGAAACTAATCTTCTTCATCCCTTTTTTTATCTATGCACTATGCACGCTCATATACAACAAATTTATCTTCTGCAATGGTCAGACAAATTTGATAGAATATGGATTATATATTTATATATATTCTTGGATCTATGAATTTTTGGTTTATCTCTTATTATTTTTGCTCGTAATTTACTTTGGAAACTTACAAGATAATAATAAAAATAAACCACTTTCAATTATTGTACATTACATTCTTTAACTCGTTTGCAAGACAATAAAATTAAAACTCACAAACCAAAATAATAAGCTAAGCTAAGCTTAGATCATTCTTTCCTGATTCTATCAAATCATCAATTGGCAACAAATATTCACACACTTTGTCATCACCCTAATCGTTGTAGTAGTTTTCTTTTATACTGATTCATCCGAAAACGCAAACGAACAATTAGATGAACCTCGAGGAGTACTGACAATTTTCTCCGGTGGTAACGGCTGCGGCTGCCATTTCTTTCCGCCTTTCATCATATCGGTTTCCGATTGCTCGATATCAAACTGTCTAATCTCTTTAAGCATTGCCACAATGTCTTTCATCATCGGCCTATCGGCTGCCTTATTGCTCACGCAAAGGAATGCGACCGCTAGAGTTTGTAGCATCTCGTGCATGATCGGATCTGCCCGTCCGCGGAGTCTCGGGTCAAGAATTTCTCTAGGATCTTTCTTTCCGGCTAAATGATCTCTCACCCACTGAACCAAATGAGCACCTCCGGGTAAGTCCGGATCCAATGGATGCTTCCCGGTTAATACTTCTAGTAACACCACTCCATAGCTATATACATCACTCTTCTCCGTTATATGTTGCATCGAAGCATGTTCTGTAAACACAAAACAAATCAATATTCGTTATATATTGCAAAAATTTGAAACTCGTAATCATAACGTTAAGAAACAGAATTTTGAATTTTACCTGGAGCCATGTAACCATAAGAACCGGCTAACGGAGGCCGGTTACTAAATTTCGACGAATCCCCATCGATAACTTCCTCACCGGAGACGATTTTTGCTAAACCGAAATCGGCTAAGTAAGATTCGAACCGTGAACCCAATAAGACATTCATAGCTTTAACATCACCATGCATAATCGGAGAAAGACAATCATGGTGAAGATAAGCTAGTGCATGTGCAACGCCCAAAAGAACGTCGTAACGAGCTTCCCAATCAGCTCCTCCACTTCCTTTGCCGGCACCATGAAGCAGAGAGCTTAAACTCCCGTTAGGGAGATAATCATAGAACAAGAGTTTCAGATTCCGGTTCGAACACCAACCCAAAAGACGGATTATGTTGCGGTGTCGAATCGAACCGAGAGTGTTGATCTCCGAGTTAAACGCACCGTTTTCTTCCTTTGACCACATTTTTTTCACGGCTAATGTTTCACCCGACGGGACTGTGACTCTGTAAACAACACCGGAGCTTCCCGTTCCGATCACGTTAGCTGAAGTTAGATTCTTGACAATGTCGTCGATGGAGAAGTCGAGTTTTTGGTAAAGAGTCACTTCCCAAGAATCTAGTTCCTCATGTTTCCCGGCGACTTTTTGTGCCTTGACGAGAGTGTAAATCGCCATGACAACAAGAGCGACGCTTGCTGCGACGAGGATCGACATGGTTAACTTCACGGCGGAGCGGTGTCGGGTTTGGATCCCGTTCTCGGGTCGGGTCGAAATGAAAAGCCCTTTGTTTGATTCAAGAACAGAGAGTGGCAGTTTCCTGAAGAACAGAGTGTTTGGTAACTCGCCGGAGAATTCGTTGAATGAAATGTTGAGTGAGACGAGGTTCTGTAGATCAGCTAAGACGTTCAAGTTTCCGGCGAGTTTGTTGTGAGAGACATCGAGGATTCCGAGATTAGTGAGGCTGGAGAATCTCGACGGGATCACTCCGGCGAAGTTATTGCAGCTGAGATTCAGAGATATCGCAAGAGACGGGATTCGTCCTAGTTCGTTTGGTATTTCTCCGGTGAATCCATTGTCGCCGAGATTGAGAAGCTGTAAACTCCGGCAAGACGAGATCTCTCTAGGGATCTCGCCGGTGAATCGGTTCTTGGCGAGGTTGAGCTTCGTGAGTTCGGTTAACGATCCGATCCCGGTTGGTAAAGGACCGGTTAACGAATTATCTGATAAATCAATGAATTGTAAGCTCTTCGGAAGCGTACCGGGTAAACCACCGGTTAAACCGTTTGAGTGTAGATCGACGAATTCGAGACTTGTACAACCGGCGATCGCCGGAGGAATGCTTCCGATGAGACGATTCTCGCTTATATCGATAAAGTTGAGATTTTTCAGATTCCCAATCTCCGCCGGAATATTCCCAGCGAGTCTGTTTCCGTTGAGACGAAGCCGGTACAGATTCGTGCAGTTCCCAATATCCGGCGGTATGAATCCAGATAAGTAATTAGAGAGAAGGAGAAGCTTCGTGAGGTTTCGTATCTCGAATATTCCGTTAGGGATCGAACCAGAGAGATTGTTGTAAGAGAGATCGATCGCTTGAAGCTCTTGGCATTGAGATAGAGACTCTGGGATTTTTCCGGTTAACTGATTCTGCCACGCGAAGAACATCGTCAAGCTTGTTAATTTCCCGATCAACGGCGGAATCTCGCCGGAGATTTGGTTGTTATCGATCTCTAAATGCGTCAGCTTCGTGCAATTCGCTAGCTCTTCAGGGATTGTACCGGAGAGC